GATGAGGATTCTCGGTGTCGTGCACTTCCCGTCGATATCGATTAGGAATTAAACAATTCTTTTTTGCTTTGATAAATTCAAGCCGAGTACTTTAAATACGGTACTCGTGCTTTCTTACGAAACCTATGCCCAATTTTTTTAATTAGATTAAAACTAAGAAAAATGCAGTAAGAAACGATTTTTTTATTGGGAATTAAACAATTCTTTTTTGCTTTGATAAATTCAAGCCGAGTACTTAAAATACGGTACTCGTGTTTTTTTTTACCAAACCTATGCCCAATTTTTTAAAGTAGTTGAAAACTTTTGACAAGAGATTCGGAATCCCCGTCGCCGACTCTATCAGATCCATATTTTTGCTAAGCGGTTTGCTCGGTTCTTTATTTGCAGTTCCCTAGTTAGACCGGTATTTTGTCAACGAACCTGAAAATTACCAAAAGAAAGATAAAATCCGAGGTCCGCCAGACATACAAATATTTTTCATTCTTTTTCGGATTTGCGTGGGTCTTAATTTTGCGAACTCGAATGCATGTGCATAGGGACGGCGCTGCCTGGAAAACGGGCGCACGCGGTTCATCCGCTCTAATGGGCAGTTCGCACTACCCACAAAAAAGGCCTCCAGTAAAATGCATTGCACCCGTTTCGAATGCAATAGGCTGCACTCATTTTCACTCTCAATTTTCTGCTAAGTGCATCCCTTTAACGTTGTCACTGGATTCCGTTTGTAAATTTTCCATAGGAACTCGGCTTTCTTAGCCCATAGTCGAAATTTTCGTGAGCCGCCTAGCTGTGACAATGGTACTGAATCATGGGCTAAGCAAATATGAAGCCTTAGGTTGCGCCCTGCATGACTGCCCTTTTCATGCATGCAGAGTTGGCTAAATAAGGTCTTTATGTACACGCGCTCATAGTGGGTGCTAACGGCATAGCCTTTTTGTGGTGATTGGCAACCGAGAAATAGATGCGGTTATTAAATCTATCATTTGGAGTCCAATTTTTACATGCACCAAATGGAAATTAGAATTATTGAAATGTTAATATTCAAGTGTTCAGCGGATCAATCAAGCCGGGGATATCCAGGCTTTAGGAAGTTTTAGCCAGTAGGTCGTAGTTTGGTGTTATGAAGGAGCTAATTTTTGCTTTCCTGCTTTCTTGTTACCTTGAAAAGGCAGCTGAAAAGTCGAGAAGCACTTGATGTCGCCGCCAGCTTCCCGCCGGCTGTCGTCCGAAATCCTCATTTCAATCTCGACCCATCCTCCCCCATCCAAATTGACCACCCGACTGGCGCCGACAAGCTCATCCACCAGATCCAATCGCCAGCTGGGCTTTTTTCGATTTAGCCCGAAAGCCCGAGCGCCTTCCCCTTCACCTGCCAATAATAAATTGTTTTAGGGAACAGTTCATCTTTAATATCTTGAGTATCCTCCATTCAACCCAAGTTCCAAAAGATGCAAAGCATACAGGGATGAACCCTTATGCAAACTTGACCCCGATCCCTCCCTCCCATGCCGAGCTCCTTGTTTTTTGATCTGCCGACCATTCTTGCGGGTCGCCCTTGGCTCAAAATGGGTTCACCCATCCCATTCTGTTCAATCTTTGGCTAGCACCATTTTTTGCAGACCAAAACCGGCGTTTTTCCAAATGGTTGCCCTGGTTGCCCTAATTCGCATGGATGGTTTTGGCTAAAATTTAGAGTCCGAGCCACGGCGTCCCAGGCATCACTTTTGTTTTCGAAGATTGGCCTTCAATACTGTAGTCGGCAACTATTGTCAGTCATAGGAAATGCACGGAATTTGAGGGGCGGAGAGCCCTCCAGGTTAGGCTGGGGACGGTTGGAGTGGGCAAACCATCAGCTTCTACCCGCCCTCGAGCGATGCCTTCATAAACACTTCGCTAGAAATATGCTAAATATACTTTCAATAACTTTTACGATTAGTCAACAAATGTTTAGGATTTTTAAATTAATCGATCTCCGTATAGACTCAAATATAATATTTATCTTTGGCTTGTCACGGCCTTTTCCTGTTTCCGTTTCCAGAACCTTTTCGACGTGTGCTTCACCTTTTTGCGAAAGCGATAGAACGGCAAGCCATTACACCGGGCATTCCTAGATAAAATCGGGCGCATTCCCATAGTGAAAACGGCCCGCATAGCTTGTAAAATGCTGGACGGCCGTCAAGAATGACCTCGGGTTAGTCGTCTCAGATATATGCTTTGTTTTCTGGAAATATGAGCTTGAAAATTGCAGCATGACCCGCCCTTTGACTTATAAGAGATTTAAAGGGCTGCCGACGGCATGTGTCGATCCCCCCCTCATCAACAAATTGGCAAGTAGCCAACAGGGGAGAGAGCGCGCCCAGGGGAGAGGCGCAGAGACATTTTCTTTTCTGCGCGTAACCGATTGACTATGCCGTCGGCATCCCTTTAACGCGGCTTCGCAGTTCGCATTTTTGATATTAATATTCCGTATTTTCAAAGTTTACGAAGTTTTTCAAATGGTGGGTAAATAGCAGAAGCGTTAATTTTACCCGTTTCTTTGATCATTTGATCCAATGATTCGCCTCCTCCCTTGTTTACCTTTCGAAAACAGGAACCGGCTCGGCTGGTACGAGCTGGCTTCTTCTTTGGCCTGGGTGTTTGCCATGAGGGGCAGTTTGCCGGTTCGCCCGAGAGCGGATCGGGTATTGTTGTATTCGAGGGCCCCGAGGAGGGGGGCCCTAGCGAGAAAGACTTTGGTAGCAGGAGAAAAGACAAAGAATGGAATTGGAGGGGGGATGGATGGCACACGCGGTTCATCGATACCGGTTTGTCAATTTGATCTTCGGATCTCACGACCATGTGCAGTTGGTGGTAGTAAAAAACTGGGTGATTCCGTCTGAAGCCGATTGGCGCAATTGACAGCTTGGTTACTGTATCTTTTCAACCAAGGTGCCCAGTTTCTATTTTTCGCAATGACTCCGATTAGAGGTGAACTTATATTCTTTCGAAATAATTAGGGCGTTCTATTAGCGAAGACGCGTAATATAGTTCGGCATGGTCCAGAATAAATTTAAAAAAGGCTCATGATCGCCATTTGGTATATTTGCGGTTTCGTTACCTTCCATGCCGATTTTTCTTCATTTCAAATAATATTTGCATCACTATTTTTAAATTTCGAACTTAACTCGAACTATTCCTCTTAACTCGAAACTATTTCATTACCAATAAGAACCAAATTCCTGCTCTCAATGTGTTATGGGACCTTCCCTTTTGTGTAGATTCTGGTTATGTCGGGGTGGTACCCAATTGTTGTGTTGTTAAAGGGAGGTCAGGGCCTACCGGTCCCCACCTTCAACGCCCACCATTTCCTTTGAGACGCTGCCGACCTATTGACACCGCAGCCACATTTCGGGCTACCAGGTCTGCCAACGAGAAATGGGCATTTCTTTAAGGACTTTGCTTTACATGCTAATTTACAGTTTATCCTCACACCGGATTTATAGGTATCCACGCTAACGTCATTTTCGCGAGTCTTGAACTTTTAAAGGGAATTATATTTTTTTAATTAGGGCCGATTTAGGCGATTTTGACCACACACGCAACATTCACAGCTTGAGCCCTTCGATACATTCATTTTTTCGCAACCATTGTGGGCCAGAACCTTGAAGAGTTTCTAAAACTGTCTGGCAAACAGCTGTATTCTGCGCATTTCTTCTCTATCTATCACAACCATCCAAAAATGCGGGATATGGCTGTGTTCCCAGCACCTATATCACGTTCGGACACCCTTATCACCCCCGGCTGTCACAACACAACAAATGGTTCCCCCTTGGTGTCATCAAACTATTGAACGATTGGTGTCCTATGCAGCCGGATGCAAAACCCAGTGGGGTTAGAGAGGGTCCTGCCCCTCCCCCCTTCTGAGTCCGATCCCTTATGCACATATCATTTGGTACGGGCACCAGCCTCTCTTCTGTTTCTCAGTCTCTGTCATTCCATCTATCTATTCTATCTGTACCCCATGGACCGCGACCGCACGATGATACGATGAGCAGCTGCAAATTTCACTCCCACCACCCATCCGAAACTGGCCACGAATTTTTGTCGGCTTTTCCCTCATCATCGACCCGCATCCACCCCGTGGCTCCCGGATATCCAGACTTGATCGAATTTGAGCGAAATGCGAGCTGTCGCGCTTCCCATCTTTCCCCTACCATCCCCTTCCAATACCCTCTAAGCCACCAATTTTCGGATCAACCCAAATTTTTTGCCGCCCTCGTTTGGTTTGTGCTCAAATGTGGAAAGCTATTGGGGGTAACCCCGAGGCTTTAGGAATTTTACATGTCAAAAGTTCTTTGACGTCGTGTTTTCTGCATTCATGATAACCTGATATGGTAGGTAGTATTTACTAAGTGAATTCGTTTTACTCCTTGACTGCAGTATTAATGTAGTACAGTATAACTTAAATTAACTTTGGACGACGCCCGGGGTGACTAGCCAAAAATGATTCAGTTGATTAGCGGACGGCCGGCCGATCCTAGGCAAAGAAAGGCTTTGTTGTCGGATGGGGGAGAAAACCGAGGCGAAGACGATTTATTGAAAATAGAATGGTTTTGATTAGCATATAGTGTACACATTGCCCATTTTTATTTGACGTGTTATTTCAGGATTGAGCAGGGCAGAATGAAAAATTTTTACTCTATTCCGCCGAAAAAGTAGCAACTTGATCAAAAACCATTATGTGTCGCACAACAATAATTATTCCGTTTATAGCGGCTTTTTTCTTAAACCATATTATATTAAAATATCTTAGCCCGTAGGCAAACCTACAAGCCCAACATAGCTGACTCATTCCCATTTGAATTCCTGCCTTATCACCCTGGTCCCATCCCCTTTTTTGAAATTGGCCAGCTTCTCCTCTCGGATGCACCCTCCACTTTTTACGATTTGCATCGATAACTCCTGATTTCTTTTTGATATCACTTTTCTGTTCGCTATCTAAATACAAAGCTTTTTCAGCCAGCATGTCGTGCGCCTACGACACGGATACGCTCACTTCGGCCAAGCACAACCGGGCTGCTAGCGAGAAGTTTTACAAGCAGGTTATGGTGAGTTATTTTGATTTGGTTTTATTCAACGGTTTTTACTTGCTCTGTAATGTACAGCCATATTTTGGGAGTAATAATATGTTAATCGCGGCTAGGCAACTATACTAGGTGACTGGTTGGGTGACTCATAATTCCGATCGGCCACCCACGCAGCCGAAAAATTATAAGCCATGCGGTTGAGTATTGAAAGAGTTTTTTGGACGAATAAAGCTAGCGAAGCAATCGTGAAAATTACCAATACTAGCGTAGGTTTCGGATACGCTTTCGGGTACCTAAAATTTTGCCGGGACATTGCAATTGGATATGCAAATAGGGGAACATAGCCATGGTGTCGGGCAGAAACGAAATAAAGTTATTGATTCAGTGTCAATTGCGATTTCATGTCATGCCTTTTCTTTATTGTAGCAGTTTTGGAGAAATAATACCGTAGGAAACTATTAACACACCGTATGCCATTGCTGCATTTTGCGATTATCGCATTTACTCAAAGGCTGGTCATTTTGGTTAGAATCTACCATAAATTGTTTCAAGGGTAGCAAAATATAAAAAATTAGAGATAATATACTTCTTCGCGTCTTTGAAAGCTTTTAATTGATCACTAATCATAAAAGAATCGGATACTTCTCCGGATCCTGCTGGGGGCAGTATTTTTTTTGACTCTGTGTATATCGTAACGTAACGTACGTCCAGGTTTCAGAAATGTTTTCTAAAAATGCTATGGAGCCAATTATCCTTAGGATAGATGTACTTATCAGCTTTTTCGTTTTTTTACTATTACGTACCAGCCCCATCTCCTACCCCGCACTAATCTCGTCGTCGTCCTCCCCCCCCAATACCCGAATACACAATTGGTAGGTGTCGAAGGGTGTTATGAGTCATAGAGAGCTAGCAAGGAACGGGGCTCTCACCTGGTGCCCTTCCCCAATCGATTCTTCGTCCCCATCCAGGGTCACCTCGCTCGGTCCAGCACCAAATGCTCCCTCTGGGCACTGACCACCAGAGGGTTCGGCTACCTTTTCTCAACCCACCCCCAAACAAAGCAAGCTACCACACACACCACCGGGCCCAATACCCACCAGCCGCCTTCAGACCCCCTCGGCGGAACGCATACCTTTAACCGAGCAGCAACGCCTATCAGTGAAATTTGAATAGTGATCTTTGTTTGCCTGTATTGTACCATTTTTATTTATTTTTAATTTTGGCGCTAATGCCAAGCATCATGATTTTGTTTAAGATTTTGCCATCCAAACCTGAAAAACATAATTCAAGCCAGCACCCGTTCTTTGCATTTTTTATGAAATTTTAGCTATTACGATCCTAACAATTCTCTCTTCAGGTTTTGGTTAAAAGATATTTACTAAAAACCCCTTAATAATTATTTAAGATATACTGGCGTTTTTACCAGGTTCAAGATACCCGTTTCTTCCTTAATTCCTCCCAAAAACTTTAAGAACCTTGAAAAGCTTCCTAAAGAATTTCTCAGATTCTGCATATGTTGCTAAATTTTTTTATTTGAGCTTTGATAAAACATTTTATTTATAGTAAAAATCAGATTTATCTGAACATGAACTTTGTGCAAAGTACACAAGAGTATCTCCTACTACTCGATCAACCACATCCTTATCGGGCACCTCCATCGCCGACCCAGGGCACAGGCCGCCATTTCGAAAGTTTTCCCAAAAAGTCTGTGTGTGCCGAGTCATCCTTTCGGCACTGTATTCTCCTGTATCCATTCCACTTTGTATTCCCTTTGAACACCGAGGAGACGTTTCTGCCGTTCGGGAATTTACTTTTCTAGATTCTAGATTTTCTTGGCTTTTCATGACCAACAATTCCCCCAATAATACTTGACCGTTACGCCCAGAAATTATGAGCAACTCCTATTCCAGGTCAAATGACGGTACTCTAGACCTCTCTTTTATTCCTTTGTGGCACCTCCTTCGCGGCTCCAATTATTGCAACCTATGCGCTAAAAGGTGGCCTGTAGTGCCGTATCCCCAAGGGTGCATTATTCGCACTCCTCCAATGTGGTAACCTCGACTTTCCGACCGACTGGCAACAATTTCTGGGGGGAAGGGTGCCCTAATAATGGGATGGGAAGTGGCTTTAAGAAGTTTGAGGTTGGCTTGCATTTACTTTATTAGTTATAAAGTCTTGATTTGAATTAATTAATGTATTTAGATTCTTAATTAATTTACAGCTATAATTAGCCTATATATAAATAGTATTTACCTCCATTATCTAATGTAATTACGTTGAATGCAACTTAATGCACATCCTCGGATCTTCCCTCCGTGGAATCCTTGCACACCAACCATTTAATACCGATCTTCCCAAGCCTGCCTGCCCAATCCACTTTTTATGTTAAAAAAGGAAATGGACGCCAGGCGAGGGCCTCCCCTTTTTCTGTATACTTTTTACGAAGGGTTGGTGACACTGAGCATGCCTTCCTGACCTTGGGATTCCTGGCGTCCAAGAGAGGGGCGCGAGCTCTGAGGAGCACCAGGTGGCCACCGGTTGATCACTCCTTCGATCCATCCCTCTTACCCTAGCCCATATTTTCATGCATTCAAAATGGCGGTAAACAGTGTTTTAACTTAGACTTTGGTGCCGTTTATTTTTCCTGGCGTTCACAAAACGTTCGTTTTTGATCGCACCCAATGGCGCACCTTTTCCTCACCGATTCCCTTTGCACCTATAAACCGAGCCGAGCGCCCGCGAACCGGTGGATTATCGTCGGATCGTGTGTTGGCGGTGGTTTAGGGGAAAACAGCGTTTTTGTACGGATCCTATTGGAAGCTACATAGTAGTATTCGAATCATTTCGCTTGGAAAATCTTAAAATTTGCATTTAGGATTTAGGAATGGAATACAAGTGTTGCCTATGCCTTGATGACATTATTAAAAAATTCTAAACGGTTTGAAACTATAAATTCGCAAAAACCGATGGAATTTGTCAAAATCCTGCCTCCTACTATTTTTGGGTTTCGTTTGACATATATAATGCCCCTTCGTTAGAAGCCCACCGATAATAAAATCCCCCTCAGAGTGAATGGAAAATATACCAGACAAAGACGCTATTATCAATGTTCTAAAGTGCTTTGCCGCCTTAAGTCCCTTGTAAGTCTTTCTGGAGATTGCAGCGCGTGAAGACATTGGCGGTAGAAGCGTTCCAACACACCACAGGTTCCGGCCCCCCACTTGACATGATATTCCGGGCCCATTGCCCCCACTCCAGACGTCATCTCCGCATCCTCGGCCCCCTCGCGAACCCCCGACCCCCGACCCCCACGGATACGAGTGGCGGAACGAACACTGTCTTATTCTCGACTTCTTTTTGATCCCCACTACCATTCACACCAACCTACGCGTCGTCTGCAATTTCCCGTTTCCTACTCCGAACTTAGTCTACCTATACTCGCTTTATTAATTTTCGACAATTGCGAACGCATTTTTTTGCTTGCTGTCTGCAAGTGCCTAGCGAACGCCCGGCTCATCGATTCTCATTCTCGATTCAGTCACTATATTCCGCGCGCCATCGACTCGAATTTCGGTTTCGAAATGCTGCTTCAGTCTGTCGTTTTGACGACGATTACTCAGCTATCTGCAAAATGCGAGCCACCGGTGGTTAGTTGTGTTCAGGTGTGGCGATTAACTCGTTGGTTCTAACTTTCTAACGCCTGTATCGCGGCCTGGGTTCATTTTTCCTAAATTGATGCTGCCAAAAACTCCTTTTTTTCTATATCTCGATACTCGAATTAACTCGAATTCGGTCTCTAGCTCAGGCTTTTCGGTGCTTAGGTAATTGAACAAGCAATCCGCTTGAAAGTAAAAGCTATTCTTTTTGTATCGATCGTCCTTTTAAAAGTAAACCCAAACTTTACTTCTCTCCCAGTTACCCACCCTCACTCTGTAATCTCGAGTAAGTTGGTGACGGCCGGTGGGTAAGCAGCCGTAGGCTTATTTGGGGTGGCGATGGCTTGCGAAGGGAAACAGGTTGCGCCCATGCTTGGAGGAGAGCCATGTTATATTGCTAGTGAAAACAATGGGTTGGAAGAAGCCTTCCCCCATCCTCTCTACCTTTCTTCACCTCATTCTTGGATATCACACATTCCCACCTTCTGGAGACGGCTGTGCGTTCTTGAATTTGAGGGGTAGGGAAGGGTGACTCATTTTAGGTCATATTGGAAATGTGAAACGTAAGAGAAAGAGGGAGGGCAGGAAGGGGTATGGTTTTCGGGTTATAAAACGTTTGAGATTCGGAATGTTTCGGAATTGTCTTGCAATTTTGCAAATTACTGAGCCTACAGTAATTTTGGTTTAAATTTTTTCTCCTAATAATTGCTAGTTCTCTAACTTAGTATTTGTCACTATATCTAGAGAGATTCAATAGTTTGTCGTGTCTTTGTTTTGTTGAAGTTCGGTCTGATGTAATGACTATCTTTAGTGCAGCTACCCCTATCACCTAACTACACTTACTACACTTAACTTATTACACCATTCCTTCAAACCCGTCTTTACCAAAATTGCCAATAATTAGCATAGAAAATTCCCATTCAGAGGGGCAGCCGCCGCCTCTCCTTTTTAATCTTGAAAAATCTCAAGGTTCCCGACCATTAAATGCCAGCTGCTCCCTAGTACCCCTTTTTTGGTTGGTGACCTCGGCAAGCTTGTTAATCCTGCTGTTGCATTGCCCCCAAACCAACCAGCCAGCTGCTGGCCCATCTTCTACTATTTCTTCGTTCCATTTCTATTCCCCCATTCCTATGACTCAGCTACGTGCAACAGCACGGTGGCCCAGTCACCCGAAAGTCCGCACGACAAACATCCGTCCCAACCCCACCATGGGTCCTCTTTTGTGCTAATTACGCGCGGCCGTCCTGCTTCCTTTTTCTTCCATTATATTATGCAAATCGAGACCCAATGCCTGAGGATTCGGGAAGCAAGATACCCGGGGGGTCTTGGAACCTAAAATTCAAAGCGGGCTTGGAACCCATAAAGAAAACCCTCGAAAACCTCTTTCTTCTTTCGACTGGGAGGCGCTCATTGAATGCGGGAAACGGGGGTCTGTTTTTTCGAATCGCGGACGGCCTCGCTTCCCCCCGCGGCCCCCTTCTTTTCAGTCGAGCCGCGGAACCCTTTGAAAGTGATAGTCCCGAACAGCTTTTTGCTTTTAAATCAGAAATTTTTTCGATCATTTCCGATTGAGGATAACCGTTTCCTTTTGACGCCTTTGTTTTGGATACTACAAGCAGAGTTAGTTAAACTGGATGCTAAAATCATTTAGAAACTACTAATTTCCAACTTATTGCTCGTTTCTGTCTATTTTTGAAATCCTAATTTTAGTTATTTTGAATTAATAATCAATATTTTTAGCCATCTCGCACGGTGATCCTCAACCACGATCTGCCGCAGATGCTTCATCGTAGCCCCTCCGGGGCTAAACGGAAAATTCGGCAGCGGGCAGAGGAGCGGTGAGTCGTGGTTTTTTCGCATTTGGGTACAAAATTCAAAAGTTGCTTTTTAAAACTTAGGTCCGTTGAAGCCAAAAACGGTTATTGATGCAGATTATGATATACTGTTGTCTAAAAGTTTTGCCAACAACTGAAAATTTTAGCTAACCTAACCGAGAGCTCACTTGCAAGCTCTCGCTAGAAATGTTCCTAGAATTTGCAAAATTTGCAAATCCAGCTATGCAAATTGGTGGGATGGGGAGACAGCCTTCTCCCAGCCCCGTACCCCAGCCACATTCCATAGCTCCTTATCCGGTGGGCGGCATTCCCCGCGTATCTGGGGTGTCGCTCATGGTGGATAGAGGATGAGGAGGATGAGGTGAAGAAGGAGGAGGAAAAGGATGGAGGAGGAGCAAGGCCGGTCGGGAGCTATGATAATTGCTGCAACACATCCCATCCCTTGCCCCTTCCCACCCCATCCAACACCAATTTTGGGCATGCTATATCAGAAAAATTAATTTTTCTGATAAAAATTGTATATTTTTATTTTAGCGTTTCGCGTCCTTCACCATTCCTGCAGAATAGCCGTCAAGAAGTTGTAGACGAAATGCCGGCCCAACCACCTCCACCACCTGCACATCAGGTTAGTATATTTTTCTTAAGAAGGTTGTGAGTATTTTAGTATTCGGGATGATTTTAGTAATCCTACACGTATTTAGAAAACGATACTTACGAATTTTTTAGAAGCAGCAAGCCTCCTACTCATCGGGCTATTCCTCCAACCATTCCTTGGGACCCGCTCCCTCATTGAGTTTTGAACGCCAATCGGCGAATTCCTACAGGTAGGTCAACTTAATTGTATTTATTGAATTTATTTAAATGCCTACAGTTTAGCAGTAATTTGTCAAGCTTGAGAAAAATTCTGGCACTTTTTGCGGTTACATTTCATTAAATAAAGCTCGAATTCCAGCTCGACCTACTCCTCGCAATCCTCCTCATATTCCTCTTCCCCCTCCCCAGCACCGTCTCAATCCGACGATGTCCCCACCAAATTCGGTAGTCGTATCATCGACAGCGGCGCCTATAAATCAATCCTTCCCGACCTACAACCGGATCCGATGTCGCGGTGAGTTCTAATGTCTCTTCCCAAACTCGAGAGGCTAGAGTTATGAAGGGAATTTTTGGGCTTAGGCTGTTTTCTCGGCATTTATGACGTTTGCCGATAAGAAAATGACAAGGGTCAATTGGGTGGGGTTCACTCTGAGAGTTGGGCGGGTTGAACCGGGAAATCATGGTTTGAAAGCAACCTAAATATAAATCATTTGAGGGTGTCAGTTAATGGTGACGTGAGAACGCGTATTTTTGCATACATCATACCTAAAAATACTTGACACAGTTTCGAAAGTTCCGCGAACCCCTCACCTTCACCCAGGACATGCGTTAATGTTTTCAAATATAGCATGAGTGAGGGAAAACTGCGGGAGAAAAGGGCTGGTAAATGAATCGGTGTCGACGCTTTTTCCACCATCACCTCCCTCCTTGGCGCCCAGTCCAATTTGACCCTATTTTTGAACACGTCCGTCTTTTCACCCGCCATTCCGCACACACCGATCACCCATCTCGACTTTCGCTCCACGCTTACGAGATTATCGCTTTCACCCCCTTGTTAAGTGCGGCGATTGGCTCGTCACGGAAATTCTCCTAATTTTCTGGATCGTCTCGAAAAAATTATCCGCATAACGTTTAAAAGATTGCTTTTAACTTGTAAGGAACCACTTTTATTGAAGGGACCATTTAGCAAGCGGGCTAACGTAAATTGGAACTATTTACATGCCATTTTTGCGATTTGCAAAAAGCTAAAAATCAAGTCTCTTTATTCCATTCATTATAATATTATATAACTATTTCTCCCATATATCTATCTTTCTCTCTCTCTCGCTCTCTCTCTTTCTCTCTCTCTCTCTCTCTCTCTCTCTCTCTGAAATTGACTTAATACCTCTTGAACAGCTTAGAAAACCCTCATTAAATGGTAAAAACCCAACCAAAACCGTAAGAAAAATTAGCTTTAAAATAACTGCGAATAATTTTCATACAGCCTGTAATTCGACCCTGATCCATTCTCCACGAAACTCCACCCAGTTTCCGCCCCAAAAATCGTATAACGTAACATGTCCTCCCAGTGGCTGTTTGCAATTTGACACAATCCAGGGCTTATCATCCGCCCCCAATTTCCAGGCCACATGCCTGCCAAGGACCCCCTATAATCGGGTGTCGGTTTACCATCTCTTTCCGAAAAGTAAGAACCCCCGTGTCGACGGGGTCTATGTTTACTCTTTGATAAAGGGCACCAAGTACCCGGCTGTGAGCTCCGGGTCACTTTTTCCCATAAAAAATGCCCGCGAATTTTTGGGCGCCTTGAGCTGCAAATTTCTGTTTGAGGCTCAGGTTATTAAATTTTATTATCAAAATTAATTTCGATGATTGGGTCGGTTAGTCAATGCAAAAACATCGAGTTAGTAATACATTTTTGAGGGTGTTTGCCAGAAAATTCTTTGGGTTTGACAAACTAAGGTAAAATTGCTATCTTTCTGGCTCATTAGTTGTTTTATTGCTCTTTAAATACTTTTCCCTTGCAAAAAAGCTTGGATAGCATCAAACCACCCGGTTGCTTCATTCTTTCTCCATTAGTCACCATCTCATATGTTTTTTGATTGAACGGTTCGGGACATCCCTCTTGATCGTTCGCTGTTCATTCTTTTCTCACTGTTCTTCCCCGACTTTTATTGTTGAAGATCTCGATGGTCATCAAAAAGGTTTATGATTTGCCGCTCATCATTACATGGCCTTTGAGCCAACGATCGCCGGAGCCTGAGAAACGGTAGTTTAAATTAATAATTAAAATTATGGCATTATTTCTCAATAAATAGTTGTAGGCTGGTAGCTTTGATAGTACGTTTTATTTAACCGGACACCGGTTAGTATAGTGGAGAAACCAGTCGATAAAAAAGCGGATTAAGTCTAATAATTTTTTTTTGCGCATAGATATGAGTTTTTCCGGCAACGGAACCCGTTTACCTGAGCCTTAAAAAGGCAAATATGGTAACAGATAGTAAAAGAAATTTTATCCATAACTTTGATAGTACGTCTTACCTATCACCAAACCCGGTTTCCGCCACATTCCAATCCTATTCTCTCCATCCACCTGACTACCCTTTACGCGCGTAAACTAGTGTTTACCCCCTAACACCCCTTCAGGCGGCGCAGCAAGGCGCGCTTCCCGCGAAACGTGGCAAACAATCCATGCTATAGAATGGTCGCAGGCTGTCGCTCCCCCTTCAAAGAGCTGGATCCTTGACCAGAGTGCTACTCCAGGACTACCAGCATAGCCCTCTTCTACACATACACACAACCACCCCCACGGACTGACCGACTTTTTCTGACAGCATCCCCTACCCCCGAAATACCCACTCTCTATCTACCTGTGGCTAGCTAGGTAATTACCGGGCTGTGTCGACGCATCCGGGGAAAACCCTCGAAACAGACACAGACATACTCCATACACCCGGCTGAATCCCGTGGCTGGATCCGGGCTCGCTGCAAACTGGCACCGCCTAAAATTTGCGGCATTTCCGGCATGCTCAACTGGATTTATGGGCATTTGGGGTAATGGTTAAGACCTGTATTTTTTTTATAGCTTCGTAAAACTTTGGTGTCCGGAACTGAACGTCGGTTCTATGAACGCTTGCCATTAAATCCATTCGATAACACGCGGGCGCTAAAAATCTCTTTGTATAAGTCTATATTGGCTGGTAACGTAATAGTACGTATTTTATGTTTAAGTAAGTATGTAGCATTCCTTTTAACACAATTTAACTATACTTTTAGCAAAAAAACATCTAAAAATTCAACTATCTTTAGTAATTCGAAATTTTGTTTGCAAACGGTAATTTATGATCGGATTCTACCATAGAATTTGATGCTTTGTAACTGGCATTTAGGACACCGGGATTATGAATCTCGAGATCTTTTTATTCGGATTGTTCGAAATCAAACTTCTTGTACCAATTCCTTCCATCGTACCAGACCCTTTCCATGACTTCATCAATGTGCCCCGCCATTCGACGGCTCCCGATAGTGCCCGCTTAGGGGGCAATTCCCTTCCTGAAAAATTCTGGTTGAAGCCCCGGGAATAGTGGGCGAAGCGGATGAAGGGACGGTCCGAAGAAGGTCCTGTTTGCCGATCTGACCGAACACCGAAACGACCCTCCTCCTCTCCCCCCCCCCCCTGCTTCACACGCACACACAACATCCCAACCGGGCCCTGCTTCCAAAACATTCACCCGCGCTTTTGGGTCTTCTACGATTTTTGGGTTTAGAATTGGGAATGGTTTTTTAGATATCTTAATCTGGGATTATTTTTATCTAGGCTTAGTTCACCAACAGGTATCCTACTATATATAAAAAATAGTGTCTGTGTGTGTGCATTTGCATGCAACTTCCGTCAGGTTGTCCGGATGATATCTCAAGAGGGGAAGGGCCTTAAGCTATATTTGATACGCCACTAGATGCGTAATGGCCCCAAGATTACTGCACGCTTATCAGATTGTGCAAATTGTGCTATTTTTGACATTAAAATTAAGTTTTTGTTGAAAAATATGACGCCCCTCTTTGTTAGGAAAAAAATTAACATACACCGGAAGTGGCGGTTGCCTATATAATCAGGTAGAGAGCGTCATTCTTCATTTTCTCATCGGAATTCGAGATACGTATGCAGGGTGAAGCATATTATAAGGGGCCGGCCTTAATTTAGCAGATAGGTTATAGCAAAAAATGGGTTCGTCCCATCGTTTAATTATTAAATATATTCTTCCAGCTACACCGCACCGGTCGAACCCAAACCTGCCCAACGGTCATCGAGTTCTCTATATTCTCGACCATCGCTAAACTTGCCGCTGGACCGGCAAAACAACCACAGCCAAATTCACTACGCCTCACCGGTCAGTTTGATCCTATGTTTTGTCGCAAAAGAAACATAATTTAATATAAAATTTCGGAAATTATGCGTAATGTCGGTTTTCAGGTTCGTACCGGACCCGAATCTCCAGTCATTTCGCCTAATATCAAGCCCACCGTTGCCGTACACCCCATTCCCAGTGATGAACGTTCCCATCGGTAAGGAAATATTTTCCTTTTGTTTTTTATCAATCGGGTTTTTAATATTTTGATATATTTCTTATTAACCCATTTTAGTGAAAGCAGCTATAAACGGGAAAAGCCCGCCGTGCCCGCGAAGCCGAAAGGGCTGAAACTGAATAATGAAATGAGGTGATTATTCGAACTGGATAGTTTGCATAAATTTACCCGGAATCTAGAAGTCTCAGAAATTATTTGATATGAGAATAAAGTCTATTTACAGGTCCACATCCCTATCATCAATGATCTCCAGCGTAACGAGTTGCCTGAACGATGAAGAGTTTTTCCGGACACCAGCCGTCCCATCATCCACCTCATTCACAAACATACGCCAGATTCAGGATCGATCTCTGGATGACAGCTATGAAAAAGTGCCAATGCCGAATAAGCGCAATGAGGTAAGCAAAAATCTTAGCGTTTTTTATTCTGCTTATTTTCAAAGTTATTTTCTTTACCCTAAACGCGTTTTCCAGGCCATTGTCGTCGTTGACAGCCGTATTCGTCAACTTGAAGCCGAACACGGTGCTGTTGAGGAAGAAATTGTAGCGAATGAAGAAACGGCAGAAATGATTATCCTCCAGATCGAAGGGGTCGACCCGAATTTGGCTGATAAGGTAGTATTGATCATGATGCGTCATAACCGAAATTTAAGCTCCGATCTCACGCCGACCAAACGGAGAAGCTCTTCGAACTAGCGGCCACATTCCAATCGAAGAAGCTGTCATTGGCGAAGGAATTGTCCAGCAATCCCTCGGAGAAAAGCCTGGTATGAGTTAGTTTCCAAGGATTTATAGAAATCTTTTAGAAATCCCTTGCACAACAGAAGGCATGGGCTGAGGATCGCCTTGTGAATGTGTCTGGGTTGATGTAGGTTTTAAGAAAATACAACTTAATAAAAAGATGTATTTTATACCCAATAAAATTCTTACAATTTCAGCGAAATCAACAATCGACGAGAAAAAGAGCTCGATCAATCTGTCTGTGAACTGCTCGACAAAGAATCCCAACAGCTCTGGATGGCATATCGCGACAATAGACGGAAAATAAACGAGGTACTTTATTGATTTCAGAATCAATAATATCTTTTCTTTTTAGGAGCGTTTTATCATCAAAGAACAAATCAACGAGGGAAAATCAAAACTTCGGGCGCTACAGGGTGTTCAGAACCATGTCTAGCTTTAGAAAACAAACGATTTCATATCCAGATGAAGCTTTCATTAGATGACTAGTATTTGATTCCATGTTAGCTCATTGCAGTCAATCGTAAATTGTCAAGTCGTACTCGTCCCGTGCACATCCCGCCTTCACCCTTTTCCCAAATGCTAATATGATGTTTCCTTGCTTCGCTACTTCTCATCGATACGGTCCGGAATTAGGCATTCAACCCTTTATTGAGCATTTTTCAAAATGCGACTTTGTCCCTTGAGGGTTATTCCCTCGTCGAGTCTGATGGAACACTTTGTATTTAATTTTGATTTGATCTATTTCGCTCACTTTCCACCTTTTCACTTTGGTCCCCTACCTGTGCCTATTTTTGTGTTGGAATAAAGAAATCATGATACTTGAAAAAGTGCGCAATATAGAAAATTACAACAATGAGGTCATTAAAATTAAGAACAAATTTCAATAGACCACCGACCAGCACTAGATTTTGTATATTTGATCCATGACTCGGTCAGCCACGCCTGGTTTCTTGTAACAAAACAGCCAGCCAACAGGGAGCAGCCCGGCTAATCAGCCATTTAACACGGGGGCTACACGCATTTATTAGCTATAAAACTGATGGCCCATCTTTCAAGGCACATCATTCCAAGTCGTTCCCATTATTTAGGTGCCGTTTTCAGCAAAAAAAAGTCAATTTAACCCCCTTTATTTGATTTTCAGCCCAGAATTTTTTGTTTTAAAGAGGTTTTAATTTAAATGTTAATTTATCAGATGCGCTGGCTGCTGTGTATCGGATTTTGTCTGGCGGTCGCTGCGGGTTATTTATTGAACGATAGCCCGTTGGAGCTGGGGCTAACGGATGATGAGGTAAGTATATAGGAGCTTAGAGTTCATAAATACGGTTGTTACAGCTCTACCAATTGGCTGTAAATCCTAGCAAGGATGCCGACTTTCGTGATTGTGATCCAAAGGATTTGGCTATTGCACAGGTGCGTGCGTATGATATGAAAATATTCATTCAAATCGGACGGCATGAACAATACTAATACATAAATTGTTTGCCTTCCACCCTACCAAAATCTCCCAGGCCGGTTTCAACATGAAACTCGGATTCCCCACTACCTTAACTTACCTGAACGCCTCGACCCTCTGGTATATGGTCGGCCAATACATCAAAGACACGGATACTATGGTTAAGGTTTGCACGTAAGTCTTGAACACGATCACCATAAATATATTGATTTCAGTGCCCGTCAAATGTATTACGATACCTTGAGAACCGAATACTCATCGTGTCTAGACATCAGTTTTCTGATTGCGGTTTGGCAAATGTGACTTTTACTGTAAAGAATAATTAAGGCCGGAGGAGCTCCATTGCAAACTGGCGTACTTTACATCCATATGATGCGCCACTTGGAGTTCATGTGTGGAGGAGGATTTGACGGTAGGTTATTTTTCCACGTAAGTAATCTTTTAGGTATACGCTCTAGCTGTAAAATACTTTTACCATTTTAGTATACACCCGCAATATGGCCTGCTTCCTGAAGAACGAGCAAAACCCGACCGTTACCCCGTGCTTCCAAGCTTTCAACGCATCCATCCATCAGGACTACAGGAATTTGTGCCCGTACGGTTTAAAGCTCAATATAAATAAAAGTGAAAAAACCTAGTGCTGTTGGTACGATGATGGATTGTGTGAACACCGGATATACCAGCCTATGTGGCAATTGGGTAAGTATGGGATCATAGCTTACGAAAGAACAATACCAGGCCGGATGGACGATGTGCGAGTACGAGCGCGTTGGATATGCCCTCGGATGTCAGGGACTTCGCTGCACGTTGAGTATTTAAAAAAAAAACTGATTGATTTTGAATAAAGTTGAAACGAGCCTTTGAGCCTTCAATATGCCAGAAATGAAAACTGGTTTCCGCTATTAAAGTTATTGATACCTCAAGTAACCCCACAGAAAACGATCCTATCCTATAAGCGAGAAAAGTATGTCTGTTTTCTGTAATCAGTGTTTTTCGGCCGTCTGGCCGAATTTCCGGCTGATTTTTGGTATGGACGTGAAGAAACACATTTGTCAGTGATGCATTTTTTTGTTTTGCGAAATTTCCTCATTTAACGATTTTACAACGAAAATAGTTTCTCGGAGGTTTTCTCGGCCTTCAAGAGGAGTTGGGCTCTGATTTTTGGAGGGTGAATGGTAAAAGCAACTCTCCCGATATCATTTTTTTGATTTTGCCAAATCCCTTAAATTAAAGTTTTTATGAGCGTTGTTCTAAAAACTCTTTAACAAAATGAGCCAAGAGCCGTGGTGTCCGTGGCATACCTCGACGCCCTGATGGCATCCCGGGCGGAAATTTGGACCACTTATGCAATCGATGGTGCTTCTTAGGCGCAGCTTATTAAATTTTACAAATTCCATCACCTTCCACCACAAAAACCGACTTTTGTAAAGGGACTCGACGGAGCCCGGCCAGGTCCCCAAGGGTAGGAAAAGCCCTGTCCCGGATCGCACCACCAACCCCTGTGGTGTCATGGATTCGCACCAGGCCCACGGTACTAGGGGTCAAGGGTTCGGATCCGCCGCGATGACGACTTTTTGCTTTTTGGTAATTCCTCAAGCAAACATATTGCTTTGCTTAGGCTTAGGCTTAGGCTTAGGCTTAGGCTTAGGCTTAGGCTTAGGCTAGGCTTAGGCTTAGGCTTAGGCTTAGGCTTAGGCTTAGGCTTAGGCTTAGGCTTAGGCTTAGGCTTAGGCTTAGGCTTTGGCTTAGGCTTAGGCTTAGGCTAGGCTTAGGCTTAGGCTTAGGCTTAGGCATGCTTAGGCTTAGGCCTGCTTAGGCTTAGGCCTGGCCCTCGCTCTAGCGCCGCAGTCCAAATCCTGGAGAAAAACCAGTAACTAGCGCCGCTGGCTCGAAGATTCTAGAACAACGTTGGCTCTGGCGCCGCAGGTCATGGATGGTTCCTTGCCCCAGACTCTCGGGCCGCGGGCTAAATCCGAGGGGAAAAGTAGTAGCTGGCGCCGCAGGCCAAATAATGGTTCCTTGATTCAGGCTGTTGCGCCGCAGACTTCAAACAAAGGAAAGAGAATTCATGAGTCCTAGACGGGTTCCAGTGGGAAAGGGCCGCGAAGCGGAATTTCTCCACTGGTTTTCAATATAGGTTCGAAAGTTGCACAAGTATACGTTATTCTGTTAGGCTGAGCGATGGGAATCTGACTTTATACGTCTGAGAATGAGAAAAGGTACCTGATGCTCCATCGTCCCTCTTTCTCTCTCAATCGTCGTCTCTCGTTTGTAGGTCATCCTTGACCCCCCCCTCTCAAGAGATTTCACCCCCTCATCCCCCTCCTCCTAACCTTCAACAATTCCCATCCCAATTTCTACTTCATATTCATGAAGCTCTATTCATCCGCCCTAACATATTTATCTGAAATACATTATTATGACGACTTTTGCATATTTCTGCGTTTATCGACAGCGGCCGCTGTGAATTATTTTCTATCGATGATGATATTTCGAACCGAATTTGTTGGGATGTTAGAGCAGGTACGCGCACTTTATAAATCTTTGCTTAGCATATTTAATGTTCAAAGTCAAACTTCAGCTCGGAAGAGAATTCCCGATCCATCATCTTAGTTTGTTTCATGAAGAAGGTTCTCGTTTAAATAAAATGCACCGATATTGGCCTCCAAGAGAAGACCCATTGGTCTATCTCGGCTACTCGCTAGCTGTTTATTTATTAGCAAGGTATTGTACATCACGTCATATTTAACAAATAATATTTAGAATTATCGATCCGGTTTATTTAAGAGACGCTTTGCATTCTGTCATTGTGGGAGAAGAAACCACCGAAGATGTAAAGGTTTATTTGCATTTAGTGACCAAAAACCGCAATTTAGAAACCATCGGAGCTTTCGGCATTCGCATCAATCCTTGGTCGTGTTTTAAGCAGCGTTGTGCAAGCAGTCACCATTTTCTGTTTTCTTCTGCCGCCATACCGAATTGGGGAGACCCATATTTTTGTTATAATACTTAATTATATGCATATTTTATTGACTGTTTTGATTATTAATGGATCTTCATTTGCTCGATTCCCTTCCTGGAAGTCGAAGGTCGAATAAAATTACGTTTATATCCTTCCTGTCGAGGGTAAAAGCACCACAAACCAATCAGAAATGAAGACATTGATCATTAAAGGGACGGTGCCATCAAGTCTCGACAGGATAGCCCTTGTTTTCTCGAAAAATCCTTTGTCCCAGGAAGCACGTTAGGGCTAAAGGGGTCTTTGACGGGTGGAATCCCGGGAAAAGCGGTCCTTCGGTGAGGAATGTTCCCGACTGCCCTCTCGTTTCGAACAGCTGACTTTTATTGTGCCATCTGTGGGGAGCTCACGCCTCGAAACTGAGCCTCACGGCCAGGCAACATGGATTTATCAGAGCTTCCGGAAGTCGTTTTATTTTGAGTCCCTCAGTAGCGTTCTAGCTGTTTTTAATTCGTGAGTAGGGGATTTCTGCAGCATTCAAATCTGACTTTTATAAGCTGGCCGCGTAACGTCGTGTACATTAATTGGGTGACTCTATTGGATTTTGTGTTTTTCAGGAAACAGGAAAGGTAACAGATAAAATATTATTGAGATATACGCATTTTTAAACACCTTTTTTCTTTTGGCAGTGCGGACAGCCTTTTAACGCAAAATTTTAGATGCGATGAATCGCTGCCTTTCTTGTTTTCAAAGTTCAGCTTTCTCCTCTGTCATACCCCATAGGTATCCCGGTTCACCACCTGAACCAGTCCCAATCTTACGTAATTACGCGAGTTTGACTGATCGGACGGGTTAGCTGGCCGGGTGGGGGTGGGGGTATCTGGGAAAAGCCGAGGGAAAACAGAGGGGGATATCCAACGGGGACAGCCCCTTCCCATTGGCCGTCAGCTTTTACTTGGCCCTCAACGCTGGTCCAACGGAACTTCTCTATCACCTATCCTCCTCCCTCACCCGATAACCACTTGACCCTAAAGATGCCATTTTCTATGGGACGAAATAGTTAGTTGGTGGTGGCCATGCTAAACGTGATCAGCATTCTAGGATTCAGCATTCCAATCTCACTCAAATTCAACCCATCTAACGAGTGTTTACCGGTGCTCACCCCGTTTTTTTTCAATGTTTTCGAAGCCACAAATATTTTATAGAGACTGATTTTCCTAGTTTCTAATCTTTTTTTAAGAATGGCAACAGATGCGGATCGTGTGGTTACCAATATGCGCCGCAGCTCGCTAAGAGACTCCATCGAAAAGTTCCAGGCCCTCGCAACCAGCAACGAGACAAAACTAAAGAAGTATCGCTTTATTAGCCGATCCAAACTACCTCCCCAATTATAGAAATCCATTCTCTGGCAGCTACGTAGAGCAGAAATTCGACAAAAATTCAGCTGACTACGCAAGACCACCATCAGGGAGTTTGACTGAAGCCCGCGGCATCAAAGTAGTTCTTTAAGATTTTGGTTAAATACCCTGGTTCAGGCATCAATGCATGTTTGCCGTGAAGTTCTGTTCCTGATTGAGACCATCAATGAAAATGCCATCGGAGAAGTGCCAAACAGGTAATAAAAATTGTATTAGTTTTTTGTATCTCGATAATTCAGAGTCATCGAATTTGGGAAGCTATTCACATTGTATTCGTATTACTCAGAGACGGTAAGTTGTTAACTAATGATTTTTAATTATTTTTATTTAGCTAATGGGAATGCTCATCCGAGCCCGCAAGTATGGATTGATCACCTTCGAAGGAGAAATGTTGTACCAAAGACAAGATGATAAGAAGGTCAGTTACAAGAGGAGGATTCTTTTCCATAATAAGTTGCAAATTATACAAACTGTTTTAGCCAATTGCCATGCTACTCTCCCTGCAAGAAGTACAAGCTCGTCTCCGACCGTCGGGAGACCCGAAGAATTGCATCAAATTTATTTGAACCAATTACTTCACTCGGGATTTGTTGTGATCTCATTCTCACTCCGTCCTGCTACTATAAACAATTTCAAAATTTGACAGGGACGAGCAAACGTGTCTCGTATTTATATCGAAATCGTCAGTGGTGAAATTTCAGTTTCATTCACAGCCGTGCTTCAAGTGTTGTGCAATAACATGGTTTTGGACCTTCGAGGTATTTTTTGAGGCCTTGAAAGTTGCTCGTGGCGTTTTGAAAATGGATGTCTAAATTGTTTGTCCAACCACTGAAAGTATTTTGTAACATTTTAATGATGAGTCGGTTCCCGAATTCTCAACCAGAGATGGCGAAGGTTCAACTGATATCTGTTTGTTTAGGGGTCGAGGCCTGCCCTGTCAATTGGCTGCTTTTAGTAAAGTCTTTGGAAAGTCAAAATCAATGAAGTTTGAAGCAACAGGGCCAACGGCACCGAGACAGAATACTTACTAACTAATACTTTAGTTTATGACACCCAAAATTATATTATTTAATTTTAATACCACTTTTACCAGCAATTGCAAATATTTTCAGATGGAGCAGGTTTTAGCCAAAAAGGCGGCCGAGCGACGTCGGGGCTCGGTTTTAAATACCGTAAGGATGTTTTCTGATATTGTCGCAAAGACCGAAGAAGAGCTGAAGAGGTGGATGAGTCGTCCCTTATGCCAACGGTGATTTCAGAGACCCGGGTTCCGCCACTTACGTAGAACCAAAATATGATAAGAATTCGGAGGACTATGGTCGACCGCCTCCAGGTAGCAAAACGGAAAGGCGTGGAATTAAGGTTGGGGTATAGAAATTGAATTAAAAGTATTTTACAGGCAGGATATCACGTGTGTCGAGAGGTACTATTTTTGATGGAAAAGATAGACGAAAATGCGGAGGGATTAGCGCCTCATCGATACGTGTCGTTTGGAAAGCTGTTCTATACTTATGCGTTGTATTCTGACAAGGTAATTTTTATTGGTGATTTCAAAAATTTCTATCACGCAAAAATCAGACAATAGCTGTTGTTTGCCTTGTTTTTTGCGGATTTTTCATATTGTTTTAGTTGGTCGGTATGCTGTTACGAGCCAGGAAATACGGCCTAGTGACTTTTGAAGGAGAAATGCTATACCAGGGTCAAGACAATCAAAAGGTAATCTAAAAAGAAGTAACATCAGAGTATCTGTCATAGCTTGTCGTGATGATGATGTCAATTGAAGAGATACGAGAACGCTTGAAACCGACTGGTGACCCGAAAGCATGCATAACCCTGGTCCAGGGAAATGCCGACTTATGATGGTTTCTCGTTGGCCTATTTCAAACAAAATGACGTCCGGTTTCTGTACAAAACGACAAACTTTATCGCAATAAATAGTAAGTGTGCATGGCCACCGGTTACCGTATCACATATTGTGTAGAAGGCGAGAAAACAAAATTATCGTCCAGTCGTGATTCCGGTGGGTAACACTACGGAGCCTGGAGTCGTTGGTGGTGACGGGAAATTGGGGCAGATTGTCGAGTCTGTGGCATCAGTTACTACCCGAGCCGGTTGTAGTAGGTAGTGGTCATAAATTCCATCTCGGGCGATGTCTTCGGGGGCAATGTGAGCGTGTTTCTGGAAAGTAACGTACTCGTAGCTGTGATAAAACGATTGAAATCGGGATTAAGATGATGCGCTTCCAAATTCTATAACACGTGCGCGCTATAGCATTTCAGGTTTCTAGGGGCCCGGGCTACAATGCCTTACAAAACGCTCCGATCTTATTGCATGGTACAAAAAAAAAATTGAAAGATCAAGATTTCTATAAGGCAGATGCAAGCTACTCACCCGGATAAACTCAACAGCCATCTGCGTCGCCTTTTCATCCACTTCATTCATTTCCAGTCTTGCACCCCAGGCCACCAATGCCAGAGGCTAAACACCATCTTTGTCAAAAAAAAAACCATAATTCCTACCCTCTCCTCGCTCAATTTATTATACGGCGTAACGATATGGCGCCACAAGCACCCGGTCACCAAATGGCGCAACTTGTCCAGTTCCGACAAATCGACGCATGGATGGTAGAGCAGTACGATGGTACCGTGCTGTATTTTTTTGATAGATTTGCTTGTTTACTTACCTCCAAATTGTGCAACCACCGCTGCGGAGGTACATAAAGGTATTCACCATATCTCGGCCAATTCGGCCTGTGGTCTCCTCTAAACAAAATCAAAACCTGAATTAAATGACGGCAAATTACCTCAACGGGATCCTATCTTTGTATTCAATCTTTTCGCTGACACATTTATGCGCCACCTGATCGTTTTTCGGATCGAAATCCGGGATTTCATAAAGGCTCGGATCTACTTCTCTTCTAAAATTCATTTAAAAGTGTTAAAGGTAATTATTATTACCTCGCAAAACGGATCTGGTTCGGACAGGTAAAAACCGAAAAGTCATCTGACCGCCAATCAATTTCAATACCTGTCTGAAATATATTCAATCCAAAAAATTCCGAAGAACGTGATACCTTTCCATCATCACAGCTCGTTACTTGTCCCATCATTGCACCCATATATGCAGAAATCGATTGAACCAGTAATAAAACAGTAATCGGTATTTTCCATCGTAAAATCATCTTGAAAATATCTATTTGACGGAAATAATCTTAGGATGCCATAAGGATAGAGGGGAATCGATAGTTTGGCATTTCTAATATCAATATTCGCGTTGTCGCTCTCACGGCCAAGGGTGCATAAATTTTTTGGGACTATAATTTATGATGGGGCACTGCCGACAACATGGCACGCTGTGAGAGCATAGCAAAATAATGGGGGCAATTTTCGATGGTGAAATACGGTTGAAAGAACAAACTTCGAAAATTGGAAAATACTAACTGTAAATTTACGTAAAATTGATGCAGCAAAGATTGGAATTTCGGGAGGATGCGTATGGATTTAATACGAGTTTTGTGGATTTTTTCTGTCCGGAAAAGGTAAACAGGATGAGGAAAGTTCCGTAAAGTGTCAAGGTGGGTAGTGTGGGGAAAGAGGGGAAACGGATGGACGGAGCCGCGCGAGTCGAGCCGAAAGACAGCCTTCAGGCCCGCAAACAGGATCCACCTTCAAGTGAAGAGGGAAGAGAGAGAAAGAGAGAGAGAGAGAGAGAGAGAGAGAGAGAGAGAGCGACTGCTACCCGCTCATTCAACTCCCTCAAACTCGCCAGAATCGGATGTACAAACTACTTTAAAAGAAGTGCGAAGTTCACAGTAACGAATTTATCTGTAAAACCCTAATTAGCATGTTCATTGGGTTTATTTTCTGTTCTCACAAGCCCCAATATTCATATCTACTGTCTGGCATCACTTTATTCAAAGTATGACAATGATCAAATAACACAGGGAGCACAACACGACTGTTCAATTTTTGGGAGGCAACTTTGAAGATTGGTTAACTCGACGCGCGTTGTACTAAGCAATTCGAAGACAAATACCAAGTAGAACACCCTAGCAATATTCAACGACAAAATTATGATCCGGTAATGCTGAACCGTGAGGGGATGAAGATTACCTTGGGCTGTCGGTTGGCTATGTTAGCCGTAGGTGGTAGGGGGGAGATGAGGAAGATTAGAAAAACAGAGTGAAATAGAAGGCATGGGATCATAGTTAAGCTTTTTACTAGATAGCCGCCAGGTCTAGGGTACTCTGGCAATGAGATTGGGGAGAGAATTAAAGGGGGGAAATTCTAATCGTGGTTATCATTACGAAGACTATCAGGGACCGGTGGAGGGCCAGATAATGGAGTGATTTGAGGCTCATCTTGGCCAAGTTTCAGCATGCCAACGACTGCTGGGTGCTGAACCTGAATCATTTTTTCTTTTGCGGATTTATGAGAGGTTATACGTAACGTTAAGAGGCGAGAGCAATAAATGCATCGCCAATATTTAACTTAAAATTTCCGCCAATCGTTTTCCAACTTCAAAATTCCAGAACCAACCCGTGCATTATTTTGACTGAAACCGGCTTGGGCGAGTGTCTGCTCATCTCCAAGTACCTTCCAGTTCTCTCCATCTTGGCGCCAAACTATCTTATATTGATCGGCAGGAATCTAAATATTTTACTTGCCTAAGTCATTGAAAATTGCTAAAATTCCATTACAAAATCCATTTTTAGCAAAGTAAATTTCCAGTTTATTACTCGGCTCACCTGAAGTAATTTTGACATCATATTTTTAATTGCTACAACGGGCGCTTCATCAGGCAACTCTATGAAGACGTGCTTCTTTTGGAATCGCACTTCCAGGCCAAGCAGCTAAATAAATACTTTCATTTAAAGTGGCTAATTTTTGGTTTTATATAATTTACGTAACGCAAATTCAAATTTCATTACGAACAAGCTCTATGGATCCATATTAAAAGATATTTTTCCGTAATTTAGCCATCAAAATTATGCTGCGGTAGGTAGTTAAATTCGTAAGTTTTACTGTTCAAAATCCAACATATAAGCGTTTGAGACTCACCACTCCTCCACGATAGGCCATTATAAAATGTATTCGGCTGGATTGGTAGATTCCCCTGGGCTGGCCAAGGAAGGGGGACGATGCAGCTGATTTACATTGTCAGGGATGTACGCCTTTTTCTTTCTCCAGCTACCGTAGGAATGGCGTTTGGCGCAGGGGATTCGCGGCGGGACCCACAATCTTTTGGCGCAATCTATTGCGAGCCTTGCCCTCTGCAATTTGCATGAAGGAGATATATGTAGTTTGGTTGCGTAAATGCAGACATAATTGATTTGAAAAAAGGGTATGACAATTGATATATAAATTAAGTTGAAACTATTTGAATCTTCTTACGCATAAAATAAACATGTTTTCCCATTTTTAAGCTACGGTAACAGAGTTAAAAATAAATGTAATATAGTAATTGACATAGATTTAGGAAATAACATAAATACAGTCACATTTCAACTTGTAATAGCACAAAAATCCCAATTTGATGCAAACATCCTGGAATGACAACACCTTCATTAATAATCTAAATGCGAAAACAAACCAGATTTAAATAATTCTTAACATAATTACAATAATAGCAAATCCTATGTTTTGCCAGATACATTAGCTTATTACAATGGAGAAACCAATTCACCCGCATTGGAATCCTAGAGTACTTCTTTTTGTTAGAAGATTGTGCTTTTTAAAGGCTTGGTCTTTAAAAAAAGGTATTTTCTCTCCAGATCAATAAAAACAATCAACTGGCTCTTAATTTTTTTATTGTTTGAAAACATCTCCTTTTTGTAACGAGTGGAACCCGGAAAAACGCGGCGTTCTGCAACGAGAACAGGTTCCCCTTCTGTCCCATCTCTCGCAAGAAAAGGCGCGCCTCCTGTTCTGGGTTTAGAGATAATTATCTTGGCACGGATCTCATCTGCCCTCTCCTAGCTTTCGATTTTCTGGTACGATGACGGCTTACAGAGGTGAGGACGGGGGTTGGTGCCATACATATTTACCTGGCCCTCGAATTTTCGTGGAGGCGATTCAGGTGCCATCCGCCATTATTCTTTTGCACTTTAGTTGTTTTGTTTTGGGAAAAGGTCAACAACGATGGGTTTTTTCGGGCTGCCTGAATACCGACCCCAAAAGAATGGTGCGTCAACAACTGTGAAGGGGGGCGAAGGGATGGGTGGTGCAGGGGAATGATGGGCAGTTTTTAGTATTGTACTGGGTTACTGAATCATGAACGCCGGCCGCATCGGTTTGCAAGGACTGCTCGTTGTCCTTTATCCAGCATCGTTTTTAATGCTTTTATTGAGTAGGAGTGCGAAAAGAAGTGCCCTCATTAATTTTGTTTAGATTCTATTCAAAAAAAAAAGTTATTGTGTCCTAATTGAGAAGTTCGTTAGCTCTTATTTCACATCCAAGCTTGAGTGTCCTCAAAATAATGAGATGGGCAGCCATTTGACACGAGTTTCTCATATTTTAGATGGCCCGGCAAAGCATTAGGCTTTTTGCGGAATAACACTTTTACGTATTCACTAAACTCACAACTACTTAGTATTTTGTGATTTAACTTTAAAGCGGATTCGAAGGCATCAGGCAATAAAATGTTGATTATTTAAAGTCCCGAAAAAGAGTAGCTCTCGCCCTCGAATCACCTGAAAGGGGAGAGATGACTTTTTAGTGCCTGAAAATATTTATCCACCCCAAAATAAATATAGTAAATGCGAAATTCCGGTCCGACTAACGCTAAGACTCTATTCAACCTTAATCGGACGTTACCAAGCAACCGGTTGTTAAGGCTTCCATTTCATATTAACTTTTGACGCCTCAAAATCCAACTTTGAAGCGCCTCAAAAGAAAATAATCAGCCCTATAAATATCTGGATACCACTCACAAAATAAATACCACATTCCGAAATTCCGTCCACTCCTCTCAACTCCCTCTGAATCGCGTGCAACATCTGTTAGTGACCGGCTGATCGGTGAGACCGTGTCCGTCTGTCAGTGTGTCGGTCTGGCTTTCTGTCTGTCTGTATGTGTCTGTATGCATGAATGTGCGTGTGTGTTGTTAGACAGTGTGGTGGCTCTCGGCAAACCTCATTCCGGCCTCCCGTCACACTGTCCTGGAAGATCCTCTGTACACAGAAATGCCCCCCGACCCCGCACCATGCACCCCTTCAGCCCGCTCCGTACGGCTTTATCAGGGTTTAGGGCTTGTGGTTATTACAGTCCGAAATCTGGGAGATCCATGTTAATATTATAAATTTAATCCGGAATTGTCATACCGATTCCTGTTAGTATAAACCCCCTTATTATCTACCACCCGCTCTTTTTAATTAAAGAACAGTAGCAATTCGGAAAACTAGGTGATGATCAGCGTGGTGGATTCTATCTGTATGCAAATTTTCAGCAAATTCTGAGTCCGGGTTTATCCGAGCTTTTCTAGTAAGGAATCCCTATTTTCTATGATAAACGGAAAATAGAAGACTAGACTTTACTTCCGTTATTGACTCCTTTAATCCAGCAAGCTTAAACTTCTAGACCTCAAAGGTTAAAGCTTGAGTTTTAATCCTCTATTAAACTCTCCGATACCATCCTGTTATTTAGCTTCTGACTTCACTCTGGAAATAACGTAGGGGAAAGACCTTCACCCCCCATTCTCTCATCCCCTTTCTTATCACTTCAACCATCTGTTCGCAAATATGTCTTATCTACGAGCCTTCCCTTCCAGCCATACTGCTTTTACGGATAATTGCACAACAGTTCCATTTTATACCTTATTGTTGGTGCCCATTTTTATCTACCTCAACGGTATTGCGAACCGCTCGATAATCGTCTCCCAACACCATATACAGCTATTCGAGAAACGTTCCCTTTTAAATTTTAACAATGGGATCCGGACGGAACCCGCCAATGAAAAATTCATGATTCAGAATTTCTCCAGCTTTTCGGGGCGCCTGGCGACAGAACAGGGACTGGCTTTTCGACTTTATTACGGCAATCTCGTCCGTTTCTCGATTTTCATCGTTAAAATTTTGCTTATCGTATAATATAATACCGTATGATGCATTGAAATATATTTTTGCTAATATCAAAATCGGGTGAGGCTTCAAAGACCGATTCTTAAGCTCCATGCCGGATTAGCACTATATGAAATGAAAACCCCCTTCTAGCCTTTGCCATATTAATCAAGTTAATTGCAAATCCGTCCCCGCTGCACCATGAAAATTTAGGTCAAAGCCTCGATTTTTTTTTCTCGGATGGTTTGTCTAGCGATATATTACGAAGAAATTTTCCGGCGTCAGTTTTTCCTGAATCATTGCCTTGTCATTATTTCGAAAGCGCATTAAATGAATAATTGTCGAAAAGACGCCTAGCAATTTAAGGCCTTTTTTAATAAGATTTTAGAAAATTCTAATCCTTTTTGTGGGAAGAAGCCGTTTTCGAGTTGAGGGCAAGACCGCAGATTGTATCTAGAGGGAAGGGATGGTCGGTGTATGGACAGGGGGGTAGGGGGAAGATTGTGAAAGTGAAAAGTGTTCGGAGAAGGGGGAGCAAGAGCCAGGAGGAGCGTCTTCGATTCCATTTATGGCTGCCCGGTATTCATCCTCAGTCGTCTGCACCGTCACACATCTTTGCCAGTTTGACCTGTTTCCTCACTGAGGTTTGGAAGCTGGTTTTCGAAAAAGTTCTGGATTTTAGCGATTTACTATAAAAGTAGTAATGGTTCCTTGATAAATCAATTTAGTTAAATAATTAAACTACAAAGGGGTCTATTATTAAGCTTTCCGGAAAGCCGCTCAAGACGTAACGGGTTTTTAAGAAAATTTAAATGTGAAAAATCCGCGTTGATGTCTTTTACAAAATTACCTTTTTGATTTTATGTAATCATAAACGGGATGGCCTCTCTTGCAAGTTTGAATTCTAACTTTATAACACCTTTTGATCATAAATAGCGATTTTTGGAAAATTCACTACGGAGGATTTTTCAGGGTCCAATTTTTTTATCCCATGGGCTAGATCCCAAGCGGTTTTCCGAATGGCTAAAAATACAATCCTTAAAACATCGTGCAAAATATTTCTATTTCCAACCGGTCCCGATTCCTAAAAAAACAGATCCAACCACAATCCCATTCCCATCACATTAACCATAAAACGTTGTGAACGAAGCTCTGGCAATGCCATCGATTTCCACAACCAACAACCACCAAAATGCAGCCATCTTTTACCTTCGATTTTATGCCATTTCCCGCCGGTTTCGTCGATATTTGCTGGTCATTTCGCGGTCTTTCATCACCTTTTTTGGCTTGGAGGCTTGGTGGGCGTGGCTAGAAGTACTTACTGGCATGGTTGTTGCCAGCCGTTACGTCAAAGGACCGGCAATTGGCGACGATTTGACTCATTTTATTGACAGTTCATGGGGAAACATGCAAATTTAATGGTCGTCTGTTTATTTACTGTTTATTGTGATTGTACTTTGGTTGTAAGTTGCGCTAGATTTGTTCAAAACAAATGCGCCTTCGTCTGAGGATTTGATTAAGTTTTTGTTTTCTTTAAATCGTGAATTTTTAGATTTTTAAACCTAGCATCCACGCTGACTGCTTTTTTAAGGCGGTACAAAGACGTTAATTGGATAATTTACATGGAAAAATTAGAGGATTTAAACACAAACGAGAAAGAAGGAAAATATAATTAATAATTGACAACAAAAAAGGCGGCAGCATCGTTGCCATCGTCCGTTTTTGCGCGTCATTTTGTTTGGTGGGCGGAGCTTCGCAAAAAAGTTGACCGTGCGGGCTGTTGGGTGGGTGAATGGTTGGCATTTCTCTGCCCTGGTCTTCCCAACGCGGAATTACTTCTTTTTCGACGTGTCCTTGCCGGTTCGGGTTTGGGGGATCGGGTGAATGGTAATTGGAATTCAATGGGTTGGACTCAAAATAGAAATCAGGAGTTTAAAATTATTTGATAAATCACAAGAGCAAACATTAAATAGCCGAGATTTTTGTTTGGGTCCGTCTTCCGTATCTTATTTCTACCTGTCACCATCTTTTAAAAGCCCATTAATTTTCTGAAAATTTTGAACCATGATTCACGATGCATTGTTTCCAAAAACTTCCACTCGTTTCCGCTGGACGATCGTGTGCTCATCATCAATTTTTTTGGTCCTCTGAATCACCTCACATATTGCTTTACCCGGAATCAACCTAAACAATACTCGACACCCTGCTGTTCCAGACTCGTCGACCCGTTGGGTCCGGGATCCATCCGAGTACCGGTTCCCATCCCATCTTCTTCTTCTTCTTCTCCTCCTAACCCAGCCCCGGTGCAACCCCTGCTGCTTTTTCTCCTTCCACCTTCAGCACCCACGGATTATCGGCGGACAGGTGGGTCTTATCAGGTTTAAAACCAAAGGAAAATCGCGGATTTTTAAGCTAATTTCATGAATTTTTTCAATCTTGTTGATGTTTCTGCGCGTTGTTTAGGGCTGCACAAAATGAGGATCGATTCCTCAAACAATTTTTTTAAACTTCTAAGCTCTTGGATATGCTTCCGATTTTCGATTTTCTGGCTTTAAAAACCGAAATATTAAGGATAACCCCTCAATATAAATCTTTAAAAAATTTTTAGAAGTCTAAAACGTTTTCATTTGTTTATTTTTGAGGGCTTAAACTAACGAAAATTATTCTATATTGCTTGTTTTCCTTAAAAGGTTTAAAAACAATCGGAAGTGCTTCCACATGTGTTTTTTCCAGGGTCTCAATGTATAACAGAAGAGCGGCAGTGAGATGAAACCTAAAGAGCCCTTCAAGGGCCATCACCGTCGAACTTCTTCACTTTGGCGCCCGCCCTCCAGGTAGTTGCTTATTTTTATAGATTTTCTCGTAGCCTTAAACTTCTAGTAAATACTATTTCATCTCGTAGGTGCTCTCCACCGCTATTAATCCGTTACGCCGTATTTTCCCCCCATCCAGATCGACCCGCCCTAATCCAGGATTCCATCAGAAATTCAATCCAGCCCGTCGCTGCCACCCACTCCCATTCAGCAGCCCTAACCGCCAAAACATGAGTTAGGGCGAATTTTTGACAGTGCCCGACTAAAATATGCAAATCGCTCGCCCCCACCCACCAGAGCGCGCGGGCGATCTGCGTGTGTGGATGTCTTTTCTGTGTGCGCTCCCTTTCAAAAAGTGGCACGTCGTGGGGAATCGACGAGGGTCGGTCTGGGAAGGTTTCAATAAAGGAAACCAGAAAAGGATGAAGGTGTTAGAATGTAGCATTTTTGAGTTATTGAAACATTTTAAGACGTTTTTTCTTGATGCAGAAAAACGCTTATTATCTATATTGTTAAAGGCATACGCTCAGTTTTCTTAGGCTCATTTTTCGGCATTTATCAGGGATTGTGTTTTTTGTCACTGTCGGTATTGAGTTGGTTCGGCTTTTTGGCATGCTAAAACTACGAGTACAAGCGGTTGCCAAGCTTTTTATACACGAATCAGTTCTTTTTAATTGTTTATAACCCTCGAATTGTATCTCCATCCTCAAAATCTTTAAAAAATCACCAGTTCCTCTCCCCGTTCCCCCGCGACTCAACACTACAAATCATAACCAACACAAAAATAGCCACAACCTACCTGTTGTATTTTGTAGAGGCCGACGAAAAGAGGGTAAGGGTGGGAGAGGAATTAGTTGTTGACGGAACACATACAGTGGAAAGGTGGCGGGCAAGGTGTTTGCAGAGAACGGTTGCCCCCGGACTTCTGTCACCTACCTGCCGTCGACACACGGCGGCTAGAGATTTTGGCGGCCCGTCTCAAAGACCAGCCTAGAAAGAAACGAATGAATATGTAGAGAAAAATTAGGGTAATGGCTTAGAATTTGCATAATGGGTTGAGAAACAATATCTAAATTTGGATTTGAGATCGTCCCCCTTAAAATTGCAGCCTTGCCCTGCAGTAACCCTCTAAAATTTAATTTGAGAATTCATCTCGAATTAAAATTAGTTCTATCGTAAAAATTGATTACTCAATTTTGCTAATTACTAAACGATGGGTTTTGGTTGGTATCCTGTTTATACTCGTTCGCAGTTCTAGCAGAATAAGTGCGAATCTCTTTAATCCGTACATAACGAGTTTTGTGCTAGGGGAAGCTCATTTTAAATCGCAAAAAAATTTCGAAAAAGGGGTTGGATTTGCATTTTTATTTTGGTAGAGTGGCGCCGCTACAACCATGCCGATTTTCAGCAATTTTAAAGGGGTAGCGACAGTTAAAGACCCAAAAAACTAGATTGTATGCCACTCCATAATTTTCCTTTAAACCAAACAGGTTTTAATTCCCCCAAAACCTCGTCGCCTTCATCATGCACCAATTTCGAGAAAACCACCACCGCGAATTACCAACATAAATATTTACTCCCACAATTTCAGGCCGGTGCTCGCGAATGGGGCGCACATCATTAGGGAAAAAGCGGAAACCGGCGGCCGTGCGCTGAAGCAGTTGATCCCCTTTTCACGGTACATTTTTATGGACCTGTTGCAATTTCGTGTGTTTGGTTTAGATGGCTGTTCGGTGATGGGCGGGGGATACATGCATTTCGGACGATCACCCCGAATAATCAGCCGGAGGGACCGCCAAGGTGAAGATAAGCTCTAGAAATTTACAAATTTGTATAGATACGAACAACCAAATGCCCACTTTGCGACTAATCGAATTTGCACTACGAAATATAGTGTCATCACATTCATCCCACGGAATCTCTTCGAGCAGGTTAGTTACGGTTTTTGGCCTATTTTCTTACCCTTTAACGTCGGGGTCAACAAGACCACCCGTCCACTTTGGAGGGTAGAAAGACGAAGGTTCTGTTTGTATGTTTGCTTGGCTTCGTCCCACGGCCCCACATTTCCACTTGGGTTTTTTTGAGCAGAAAAAACAGGCTGAACGCATGTGATGGTTTCTGATTTGTAGGGTATAAATGCATCCAAACCAGCAGACAGCTGCGACTGAATACAAAATGATTAATTTCAGTTCCATCGGCTGGCCAATGTCTACTTCGTCTTTATCGTCATCCTCAACATGTTCATCCAAACATTTGGGAAATATTTGGCGATGCTTCCGATTACTTTTGTACTCGCGATTACAGCAGTGAAGGATGCGATAGAGGCATGTGTGTGCCAATTTTACTATTCTAATTTGTTTTAGGACTTCCGGCGTTACAATTCCGATCGAAAAATTAACCATCAGACTTGCCGTGTTTGGGATGCCGCACAGGGAAGGTAAGAAACTATCATGTAATTAATCTGTAACTATCTAGGTATCGTAAGCTCGAATGGAAACATGTACTTGTCGGTGACTTGGTCCATCTTTCCCACGACGAAATCATACCGGCCGATATGTTATTACTAAAAAGCAGTGACAATTCAGGTTGGCATTTATTCATTACTTTTTCAGAACTAAATTTTAGGAATCTGCTACGTCGAAACATCGAATTTAGACGGTGAAACGAATTTAAAACAACGAAGCGCTATCCCTGCTATGGCAAAATACCACTCGGCCACCGTACCCCAAGAATTTAGCCCTGCAGATTTTGGATATCGGGTAAACAGATCGCTATGATAGTGCTAACACGATAAATTCAAGGTCGTTGTGGAAGGGCCAACTGAAGACCTATATCGATTCCAAGGCAGTATCGAAGTTCCTGAAGGCCAACCACCTATCCCGCGAGAACAAACTTTTCTTTCGAAGGTAGCTAGTAATCGGAAGCCGAGTACGATTCGAATTTAGGAAAACGTACTGCTCCGTGGATGCGTTATCAAGAACACCGATTATGTGGAAGGGATTGTTATCTATGCTGGTATGTAAAAATCAGAAAAAATAGCATCAACGTTTCTCGATTAGGTTCGGAGACCAAAGCCATGCTCAACAACTCGGGGCCAAGGTACAAGCGAAGTTCTCTTGAGAAGTTGACGAATTGGGACGTGATATGGTAAGTTACACCTCTTAGAAGTTGCACTAAAACACCCCAGGATAACTCAATTTTTTTCTTATAGGTGCGTTTTGATCCTAATGATTCTTTGCACACTCGGTGGTGTACTGTCCTCTGTCTGGATTCGTGGATATCAAGATCCCGACCAGGTATGCAAAAAAACCCCATGGAATGACCTGATATTGCAACCACCACTAAAACCATTTTCCAGGTCCCATTCTTCGTCGACAGCAAAAAAGACATCGGCATCGGGGCGGTCAATTATTTTCGTGAAGGCTTCCTAAACTTTCTATCGTTTATAATTGCACTTCAAGTAAGTAAAAAACTAGCAAAAAATATAACCTTATTCAGGTAATGATCCCAATCTCGCTCTACGTATCCATCGAAATTATCAAACTTGGTCAAGTCTGGCTGATTTCGAACGACCGTCAGCTTTATTACGAGAAGAAGGATAAGAAAATGGAGTGCAGGTTCGTTGACAAATCTCAAAATTCATTCTTCGAAAAGGGGAAATCGTTATGGATATAGCTCAACCTCCCTTTAAGAGCGCTGAACATCCCTGAAGAATTGGGACAAATCGAATATGTGATGAGCGACAAAACGGGAACTTTAACCGAAAATCAGGTAATGCTTCTGATGCATATTTATAGCTTGAAATCCCAGATGATCTTCCGCCGTTGTTCTGTAGCTGGCAATGATTTTGGTGGTCGAAGCGTATCTATGGGAGAGGGCCCATCCTCCGGCATAAGAGAAGGGCCATCGAAGGATCGAGGCCTCGAATCGCACATCAATTCAGCCTTAAAACGGGGCGAATCTGTCTGTTCGTCATCTCCAATTATTCCCTTCATCTTGACGATGGCCATTTGCAACACCGTTGTTGTAAATGCCAAACCCCACGAGGTTAGGCTTTAAGGGTACATTTCTGAATTTTACCTAAAAGTAACGTTATTTACCAATTTGCAAATGTTTTTAGGATATGATGGATGATGAAGGAGATTTTATTGAAGCACCAAACGAGAAAAACCGTGCGCCTGTTGATTCTCCACCTGAAAAACCGAAACATCAAGTTCAGGTAAATTTCTATATGCTGATTTTCAAAAGATTTCTGGCAGTTTGCCTCAAGCCCAATCGACGAAACGGAATCGCCAGGACGAAATACCCCAGATTCCCTGGATGAGATCGAGCTTATCGATCTAGCATCCGTAAAGGTGAGTAGAATACAAAAAAAAATCAAACTTTTTTAGGACGCACCAATTGGGCCTGATCCTGCCGATACGACGGCTACCACCGCAGAAGAAGATGAGAACGAAAAAAACGAAAAGGCAGAGAAAAAGGAGGATACGCCACCGAAACGACGATTGCAAGGCATACTATCAAAATCTCCAGCTTCCCTGTTGAATTTGTCTTCCCGACTGAAGAATATCCAATTCAGCAGCCCTTTTAAGCGGTATGGATTCTCTTTAAAAAGCAAAATATTTTTAGTAATTCTTCAAAAGGCGCTTCTGTGACATCTACCGATATTCCACCGGTCCATTCTTATTACGACTCGGAAAGCCCAGATGAATTGGCACTTGTCGAAGCGGCTAGAGAATATGGGGTGAGTTCTAGTATTGCATATAGATTCTCAACCTGCTTAAGGTACGACTTCTAAGGCGCCATTTTGACGAGATTTCCGTCTACACCAAAGTGACAGGCAGCCAACTAAAATTCAAGGTAACCATTACAAAATATGCTTTGTATCGTTTATTTAGCTTCTACACACTCTGCCCTTCGACGCTGACCGCAAACGAATGTCTGTTATTGTTCGCGAAATTTCGAATCGGTCTGATGAGGAAGGACGAGCTGTTCTCCTTTGCAAAGGAGCGGATACGAGTGTTTTGCCACTATTGTCCGAGTGAGAAAAATGAAACAAATTGGCTCAACTTATAAAAATTAGGGAGTTCTGCAAATACGATATCGGGGGTGAGCGGATCCACAAAGCACAACTACATCTTTCTGAATATGCGAGACAAGGATTGCGAACGTTGTGTCTGTTACGAAGGTATCAATTAAACGTAGAGTGGTGCTTATTCAAATCAAATCGGCTTCAAATTGATTTGATTTGAATTAGCAAATTTGAGTGCGAAAAAATCAACTTCAAATCAAATCGATTTGATTTGAATTAGGGGCTGGCCAACTCAAATCAAATCGATTTGATTTGGGATTTGAACAACAGGCTTATCAGGGATGCAAATTGAAAATCGGCGGTTTCGGAGGGCTTTTGGTAGCGCCGTTTCTGCGCATTTAGGTGTCCTTTACAATAATTCATGAGGCGTTTTGATGACCTTTATATAAAATTGAGCCAGACGGTTTTATTTGTCAGATTTAGCCTGCGCTATGGTTTTTCTTTGGAAAAGCTAACGGGTAAAAACATTTGGAAATGTATAAGGAATCGTTAACTGTGACGTTGGAACAAGGCTACGAGATTATAGGGAAAGAGCGGTGCACAAATTACGAGTTGCGTTGGGTTCATTTCTATGAGGTCTTATTCAAATTATTCAAATCGGCTGGATTTGATTTGAACTGGCGGAACTCAAATCAAATCGATTTGATTTGATTTGATCGGCTCCAATTCAAATCAAATCGGCTTGATTTGAACAATTTGAATCTTATTCAAATCTGATTTGAATAAGCGCCACTCTAATTAAACGGAAGATATAAGGCATTCTTTCAGATACCTCTCCGAAGAAGAATACCAAGCCTGGCGGTCCCAACACGAAGAAGCCGAGTTGGCTATGCATGATAAAGAGGAACGTCTAATAATGTCTGCAACAGCCATAGAAAAAGATTTTGAACTGCTTGGAGTTACAGCAATTGAGGATAGGCTGCAAGGTATTCAAATGTGGCGTATTCAATAGGTCAATGTTCTCCAGATGGTGTCCCGGAATGCATTCAAGCACTTCGCGAGGCTGGTATTCGAGTCTGGGTGTTGACTGGCGATAAATCCGAGACGGCAATTAACATCGCATACTCTACCAGGTATAGATTTTGGAGCGTTTTAAAAACCTTCTCCAGGCTTTTCTCCGAGTCGATGGATCTGCTGAACGTACAGGCGAGCGGCTTGCGTTCTGTCGCAGAATTGATCGATTTGTATTTGGAACGGACGGAGCGCGTAAGTATAATTTGGTCTCATTAAATTCTGTTTCTTGCAATTTTTAGAGGTCCACGATTTCCACCTTTGGCCTCGTGCTCAATGGTTCTTGCCTTGACTGTTGTCTAAATCCCATCAATTTGGAAAAGTTTTTGATGCTTTTGAAGAGGTAAAAACCATTTTGAAGACACGTAAGAACGACTTTAGATGCAAATCGGTGCTTTGCTGCCGTTCAACACCACTCCAGAAGGCTGCTCTTGTCGATTTGGCTAAAAGAAAGCTGAAAGGAAAGGTGTTAGCTATTGGTGACGGTGCTAATGACGTCAGTATGATCCAGGTAGATTTATTAAAGGTTTTTGGAAAGTATAAATTTAGGGAGCCGATGTTGGTGTGGGGCTGTCTGGACAAGAGGGTATGCAGGCGGTGATGTCTTCTGATTACGCATTAGCTAGGTATCGATTGATGATTTACGTATTAATTTTGGCAATATCGTCGGATATAGTGCGGATATAGGATATAGTATATCGATCGATCGATTCAAATATATTCATTTCAGATTCCGTTTCCTCGCACCTCTTCTCCTCGTCCATGGCCATTGGTGTTACAATCGATTGGCCAATACAATTCTCTACTTTTTCTATAAAAATGCTGTAAGTTATCGACGCTTTTCAGATACGTATTTGCAGATGTTCGTCTTCACAATCTTCTGGTACCAACTCTACTGCGGGTTCTCTTCTCAGGTCTCCATCGACCCCATCTATCTGATGGTCTATAACTTAATTTTTACTTCCGGTTGGTTCACCTTAGGCGATGTTAAACGGCGGAAAATTCCAGTACCTTCGTTGCTTTACGGGTGTTTGGAACAAGACGCGTCATATGAAATGTTAATTGATAATCCCAATTTTTACGATCAAGGCCGGTTGAATAAGGTGAGTGACTAGGAATATTAGCTTAACCGCGAATGCAGCAATATTAATCGAAAAATTACATGGATTCTTTTAGAAATACAAATGGTATTCATTCTGGTTTAATATGCTTGACGCGGTATGGCAAAGTTCGGTGGTATTTTGGGTGGCATACTTGGTAAGTTAAAAATTTATCGTCATCCTCTCAGAGTAGTAAGATCTGTCAATTCAATCTTTCTATATTGCTCTATTTTAGAGCTATAATTCTGGCCATTTCGATCTATGGACAATGGGAACGCTTCAATGTGCCCAACTATTACTTGCCAATTCCCTGCATCTGGCCTTGATCTCATCTTATTGGGTATGTTATTGTTATATACCTCTAAAGCTTATTGCAAAAAGTATGTTAATTTTTGGTCATATTTCAGACGTTCCCCTTCATCTGCTCATTGCTCGGATCCTGCCTATTATTTTTCGTTTTTGCATTCTTGTACAACTTGCTACCGGTCGACATGTTGATACAACTGAATGTCAAGGTATGCTTGAAAACAAATAAAAAGTAAATTTTTTAGAGCCCTCCGGTCATGGTGGCCGAACGAGCGGTTCTTGATCCATCGTTTTGGCTGGTTCTCCTGCTTTCTACGGTTTTATGTGTACTGCCTAGGTTTGTATTAGGGTTAAAAATTGATTCAAATGTGGATTTTTAGGGTTAAACATCCATTAACAGTCCTAATTAACTGTCTTTTGTAGATTCACCTGGTTGGCCATCCGTAATACCTACCATCCCTCCCGGGTCGTTATCAAACGGATGGAAGGAAAAACAGAAAGACCAACCAACCCTGCGCCTGCATATACAATTCGGGTAATTTTGATTCAACGAAACAAATATATAAAATTCTATTTAGATGTCTTCCCTTGAAGAACGACCCGAATGAATGGTCAACCCATCGCAATAAGCACAGATTTTGTTCCTCACAAAATATTGCCGTTTCTGATACTGGTATTAGTGTATCTAGTGTAATAAAATTTATAATATGTTTTTAATGGACACGATACGCAAAAGACAACATTTTTTTACAAAGGTTTTACATTTTAGTTTAAGACATCACATGTCAAGTTAATTTTTCAATTCTTCATTTAATTTCGCGAATAATTTTAAATACTGAAGGTTTTTAATAAACTATTTATTTAGGTTTTCAGGGCATAAGAATTTTTTCATAACGCGATATTTGCTCAATATGCTAATTGTTATAGCATTCACCTATTCCCAGCCGATCCCCCCATCCCCTCTCTATAATCCTATAGCGTTAGGCGCGTTGCCATGACCACTGAATGCCCAGTGTTTTCTGCACCTGCTCTTTGCTTTTTTTTAATTTCACCACGCCCTTAATCTGATATTAGAGCAATGAAGGTGACAAGAGTTTATTCGCTATAATATGTCCTTTAAGTTGTTATTTCGGAAGGGTTCTGATGAGCTTGGAGCGGGGAGATGTAGTTTTGAATGGCGGCCGGGTGGTAATTACATTGCTATTGCCAGGTTTGTTACGCTTCGATCCTTGCATACGACTTAATATTCGCGAATATATAATATCTAATTTATCATATTTTAGTCACAATCAAAATGTTCATCTCTTTGATCGTAAAGGAGAACTATTGGACGCCGTACAATTGCCTGGGTATCGTAATTATAGTCACGTCTAAATATAGCTTAAACTTATCATAATACCTTTAATATACCCTTTATAGCGCTGTATTATCAATGTGTTGGGATCGTGAAGGCGATGTCCTCGCCATCCTACACGAAAAAAGTTCTCAACTCGTCCTCTGGGACATCACCACCCGTTCAACGGAACAAATCGAAACAAGCATGGGCGCGAAGTAAGCATCACCTTGCACCCACCCACTAACACACCCACCCCTCCCTCCACATCACCCTGAAGTTCTATCGACGTGAAGACGGGGAATTCTTTAAGGGAAATGCCGATATTTGTCATGTGGGCCCCAACGCATCCTGTGCTCGTTGTCGGCAATAATAATGGAAATTTGTTGATCTATAATCATCAGACGAGTCGGTGAGTGGCGAATCGATACCTTTCATACCTTAATTATCTAGAAAAACGCCAATTCTCGGGAAACATCAGCGAAAAGTCACGTGTGGAGCTTTTTCAAATAATGGTTCATTTGCATGTGGTTCAGAAGATTCGACAATCACCATTTCAAATTTGGAAGGTAGTCATATTCTCCGAAATTGTAAGAGATTTAGGCGATACCTTGAATACGCTCGCCTGTAGTTCGGAACCGGCTGCTATAAAATTCACCGAAATCAAGCGGCAATCAGAAAAAGGAATGCAAACTGACCAAATGGTAACACCCTTTAATTTAACAAACTTCGCTCCTTTGCAGATCAGCGCGGTGCTCGGGAAACGTATTCTAATGCTCGTCAACTTATCGGATACCGACAACCCGATCAATCTTCAATTCCAGCAAAAATACGGGGATATTGTATCGTATTCATGGTAAGTACTGAAATCCGTTTTTTGGGTGTTTTTCTGAGGTTCAAAGTAGCTACAAAACCTTGAGTCATGCGCCCACCTCTCAAAAATTGTAGGTACAAATTGGCTTACATGGTGTTGGGCTTCGAAAAAGGCTTTATTGTCTGCATTTCGGCTCACCAGAGCGAGATCGGGCAGGAGATATTTTCTGTCCAGGTCAGTAAATATTTTAGGAAAGTAAGCGTAAGTACAATTAAGGAGTACAAAAATTACCTTGGTGACGTTCGAGTTTCTGGGCAATACGACAAAGTGATGTCGGTTGGTGATCATCAGTAAGTATTGTAATTGAATATTAAAATTTTGGTCTCTCTAGACTAAAACTCCGTGAGGTTCAAAACCTTCAGGATATTTCTATGATACTAGATGTTGATACGGAGAAAGGTAGGTAGCAAAGGATTGCTCTCAATTCTTCAATTTTTAGAACTCTGTCAAGTTGACGCAAATGCAGATGGCCAATTATTAGCTGTTGCTGGTGCAGGAGGATCGATCAGCGTATATCTCACCAAGGTTGTACCAGAATTTTGAAGACAATTATTGGAAGTTTAGGTCCCACAAATGGGTGTGGCTTTCAAGGACACGCTGGCGATATTGACGAATTTAAATGAAGTGACTGTGCTGCCAGAGGGCGATAGAGTAAGGTTTATCGGTGCATTAATGGGGGTCATGCCGTCACTTCCGAGCAACACGCATTAAAAATACACCTGAGGGAATTGTAGGCCCATCAATCCGTCGTCCAAGTCAATTGCGAGCCCGCCGTCCTTGCCGTCGGACCATTCCACGTAGCTGTGGCTGTCAATAACCGAGTCTGGTTCTACGATTATATCAACACAAGTAGGTTTAAATCCAACAGCTTAAAACTACTGTATCTAGCCTTGGAGCGTGAAGCCATCGGTGAGCCCGCCGCTACTTATGAATATCTCTCCACTGTATCTGATGTGTTGCTCAATGGGGAGTACGCAGCTATGCTAATGGACGGGTCGGCACGGCTACATCGTGTCCGTCATTTACATATCTTTACATTTACAAAATCATTTCCAACTATATAACATAGAAATATTCTAGATAATCGAGCAAGAAGGAGCAGAAAAATCGTTTACTTTCCCGGAACCAAATCGCCAAGCGACGCTTGTGGCGGCCGCCATTACTGACGATTTTTTCATCTTTACCACAGATGTAACTTCAATTTTTTATTTCTATGCCAAACTGTTTTAGTCAAATTACATTGTCTATTTTGCGATGGACGAGTGGGCAGTTGTAAATGAATATCGACATACGTACGTTATGATTTTAATCAGTTTATTTTGGTTTAGGTCCCTAATCCGGCAGATCTACCCCGAACCTGATGGAGTTCGGGTTGTTTTCTTTGACGAGAGACTCGAGACTTATGTGTATAGGTATCTAATAAAATAAATCTGCAAATAATAATAATATATTTATAGCCCGGTCGATGATGCGCTCCATAAATTGCCGGCTGTCGGGTCAAGTGTTCATGTGAGTTTTTTGGTTACTGGACCTGATCTTGAGCATGTATCGCATGAATACAAGGTTTACATATTTTAGTACAAAGGCGCGATGTGGGAGACATTTACAATCGATCGGGATACTTTTGTTGTTTTTGATCAGCAATCTGTCTACGTATTCCTATTGGCAAAGAATAAAATTGAAGGTATCTCTCTCATTCTCTCGGTCTCTCTCTCTCCCTCTCTCTCCTGTCTCTCTTCTCTCTCCGCATATCTCTATTTTTACTTAATCAAAATCATAAAATTTCAGGCGAAATGATTCTCTACATCGGAAATACAAAATTACCCTTTGGCCATACCCCATTGACGTTGAGTAAGGTAGCAATTTTTCCCCTGGTTACTCTTATCCATTGGCTTCTTATAAATGCTTATTCATGTTAACTCAACATTTTAGGGCATTGTCCATTGCTTAACAACAAGTGGTCGACCATCTGGGGTTCTATTAGAAACCCACAAAACCGACTACGTATTGGATGGGAAAAGCCCGGAAGCGGTAATGCCTAAAGCTTTAGCATCGATTTGTTTTTCTCTTAGATCGCCGATCTCCTTGGTCAATCGCTGAAACTGAAAAGGTTGTTGATTTACATATTTTTATTTCATCAATATCACAGTAATCAGTACACGTAGCGGACGGGGCAATCAGATAGGGTGGTTAGGCAGCTGTACAATGAAAGCAAAAGCAAGTGAAGAAGATTAGTAATGAAAAATACCGGATGTGAGAAACATTTCGAGCATTGGGAGGAGGTTTACCAACTAGCGTAAATGCAAATTAAATAGCTTGTAAACTTGATGATTATACGAATTGTTAAATGTCTACTGGTGGAATGGATCATTCCAAACCGTATTCAAATCTAATGGATCTTGAGGCGGTCTATTTTGCGTAGGACGTGGGTTTGGTGCATCAATATCTACCGTAACAAGCGAAGGAGAAGGATTGACACTTGATAGGACGGGACCATCCGCGATTCTAGCTCGTGTGGGACTTATTGGGGCCGGGGTCGGGCTCAAGGCGGTCATGGGGAGGGTGACTGCCGTGTCTGCGCGGGGAACTAAATCGATATAATTAAAAGGGCATTTCGTTGATTTCGTATTTCTTGTTGTACCGGAAATAGTGATAATTGTTTTGCGTTCATCAGCGTGACGCATCACTGTTATTTCGTTTCTCAAACGGCGGTCTTGCCGGTCTTTATAACCGGTCCATACTTGGTTGTGAAATAAAAAAATATAGAAAAGTTCCGGATTTAACAATCCCATAGTTTTTTAGTATTTTAAATGATGCTTTAGCGCTATTTATAAAATTTCTGATAAAGCCTTGCCTGCTGTGCTCCACCCATTCCCAAAATTCGCTCCATTATTAGTATACGTTGCCTGGGGTGTACCTTGAGTAGACCGAGGCGCTCCTAAACACAAAATTTTCTAAAATTTTTGAAACAAAAAGCAATTTAATCGACAGCGCCAAGGAGTAAGCAAGCAGCGCACAATTACCGGTCGCTAAAATCGAGCAGATCTATGGGTGGTTCGGTACCGATTGGACCTGGTTTTATTTTTAGAATTAACCCAGCGAAAAACTTACTGTATTGATCGATATTTTCGGCACGCTCTGCTGAGTATGGTGGGTACATGGTGTTCTAAAAAAACCGGTAAATGATTCTTTCATATCTACCTCTGGCCACCCATGCCTCAACCCCTGCTGTCTGGGCAGAATGCACGATCTGTAGATTACAAATCCTGCTAGCGCAATGATGATTAGTGCCTAAACACGGAAATTAAAAATTTATTGTTGTTACCTCAAGCACGGCGATAACAACGGCACCGTTCCCTGGTTTTTCGCATTCCTTGTGTGGAGGGACATCCGGGATTACCACGTAGGTGATGGTTAGGGTAGCTAAAGCCAAATAAAATGTAGTAAACTAGAGAAGCCTTACAGCTAATTTTGGGGGTTGAGGTGGTGACGGGTGTAGTAGGGGGGCTGGTCGAGGAAGTTATGGCTAGTAATTTTTTATTAGTACAATTTGGAGAAATTTGTATACTAGTGGTCACATTTGGGCCCGTAGTTAGTGGTACGGTTGTTGTAGTTGTCGTCGGTGCAGCTGTTGTCGTCGTTTCCACTTTTGTCACTAGAAATCAAAAGCGTGTACACTGTAGCCCGGGTATATTCGATTCCATCGTTAGGATTGTCACAGACTTACATTGAACGTCGAATTGCTCTTTCCCAAAAACCGTCTTTGTTAACTTTATATTCTTCGTCGCATTGCAAGTCCAGAGGTCAATTTCCCATTGGGCAGATAGCGTAAATTCTTCTTTTGTGACTTGCACGGTCTAGAAAGAGAAAGTTTTTCACTGTGTTAAAGCCGAACGTCATTTGCGGTTAGCCAAAGTTGTCCGGTGACATCGTCGAGGGTGAACTTCTTCGTAAAGTCCTCAGAGCCAATCAAAATTTTTGGCACGGTTTTTGCGCCCTGACATTCAGTTGGTATCCCATTGAATGATAGATGGGCTATGGTATAAGTTAATGTTCCTGCTTTAGCTATAACGCAACCAAACAACAAAAAGGGGATGATGACCCGCATAGTTGAGATCTGAAAACTTTGTTTAGTAGATGCTCTAAAACACCAAAACTACACAAATGGAGAGGTTTCAAAACGCATAATTAAAGTAATCACAAAAGTCTAATTCTTAAATTAATAAAAACTTCAATATTGAAAAAATTCTTTTATTTAGATGGGCCTACGCCTGGCGCCTATGCGAACACACCCGCGATATGCAAAACTGGAATCTTTTTGCCCGAGCGGCAATGCAAAACCTGAATATAGATTTGGGTATGTTTCGGGCATGCAAGCGATTGAGAGATGCTTTAAAACTTTAAAATGACGTCCGAGAAAGGGCGAATCGAGGGTGAATTCCAAAAATGTTTTTCTTTGGCGCCGACACAGCATTGGTTCGACGAGCAAATAAAGCGATGGGAAAATTAGAAAATATTTCTTCAAAATTAGTTTTGACTAGCGATACCTTGGTTTAGTTAAAATTGAAAACTTGTACCGGATTTTATGGTTTAACAATCAAGTTTCAAACTGTCCAGGTTTAAACTTAGGCTTTTCTTTCGTAAAAAGCCGTTCAAATCCAAATTTATAGTTAGTTTCTAAGTCGTTAAGCCAAATAAAGGATTCTTTTACGAAATAACTTATAATCGAAATATGGCATAACATGAGTGAGGAAATTCGGTGTATCGAGTGCTGATGTGTGCCAAAGGGCCGCTCCGGCCCCTCCATCGAATTTCGGCCCTTATCAAGCGTGCGCTTTCAGGCCAACAAGAATAAGTCGTCAATCAATGACGGGTTGATGGCATCAAAACGTTTTTAAATTTAGCGTAAAATTGTGGAGACAGAATAGTAGACCTTAAGGCTGGAGTCCTTACAGTTGAATTGTGTAACAAAGAATCGATAATTAACCGAGTCAAAATTGATTGTAAAAGGTTCTGAATGACCGGAGCGGATGAATGCTTCCCGAAATTTTCGGCGCTTGAAATGTTATAGAAAAGAGTCAGCGCTGAGTAAGCGTCCGCATGCGGCAGGCGGCAAAGCTGTGTTGACGGCTGGAGTGTTGCTTGAATTTTTGGCAAAGAGAAAGTGGACAGTCTAGGGCAAAAGCTAGGCTTAGGCTTAGGCTTAGGCTTAGGCTTAGGCTTAGGCTTAGGCTTAGGCTTAGGCTTAGGCTTAGGCTTAGGCTTAGGCTTAGGCTTAGGCTTAGGCTTAGGTTAGGCTTAGGGCTAGGCTTAGGCATAGGCTTAGGCTTAGGCTTAGGCTTAGGCTTAGGCTTAGGCTTAGGGTTAGTCTTAGGCTTAGGCGGTAACCAGCTGTGAAATAGATAGTGTCAAAATTTCAGACATGGTGCGTTAAGTAAAAAAAACTAATATTTTTTTCCAGCGATCCGCGTTTTCCGCCATATCGGAGAGATTTCAATGGTGTTTGCACTAGAAGAAGTGAACGATCTTGAGGTTTCTAGGCAATCTTTATCCCAAAACCATTTCAGGAAAAAGTGCTGGTCTCCGGTCATCTCGCGCTGCTCATCGAAGATTTTGACACAGCTGAGAAAAACTTTTTACTCAGCACTCAGCCACTGGAAGCACTTGATGTAACCATATTCCTACTGCTCTATATGGATCATTTTAGATGAGACGGGATCTCCTCCATTGGCCAAAAGCCCTGGATCTAGCCCAAAAACTATCACCAGATCAAATACCGTATATTTCGAAGGAGTACGCTCAACAACTGGAATTTATGTAAGCCAAAATTAAAGTAATTGCCTGTTTTTGCAGGGGTGATTATTCGACGGCGATGATGCATTATGAAGAAGGGATTTTAAAGGATCCGGAAGATCAGGAGGTGATTCTTCTAAAACTTGCTATATTTAGTTTTAGGCAATTGAGCACAATGATGTCTGTAAGAGTGGAGTGGCGCGTACTGCCTTGAGAATTGGCGATGTCAGAAAGTAAGGAAAGTAAAAATAGTCCTTATATCGTTTTTAGAGGCATGGAGTTGGCAGTCGAGATCGAGGGCCGATTAATAAAAAAGGAATGTGCATTGATTCTCGAGCATCTAAAGGTTGATTTGTTCCCTAAATCCTAACGCTCTTATAATGTAGCAATTCACCGATGCGGCCGTCATTTACGAGATTGGGCAATTTTATGATCGAGCGGCTGCAGCGTCATTGAAAGCTAAGAACTGGTATATCCAATCGAATTTTTAAAATGCTTTTGAATTTTCAGGAGCAAGGTAGCCGAGCTACTTCCAAAAGTGAAGTCCCCAAAAATTCATGCTCAATATGGTAGGGTGATGGAAGGGGAGAAGAAATTTAAGGAGGCAGCAGCGGTAAGTTAGTCTGATTGTTTGAAATTACTCGAAATCCAGGCCTACAAGAATGCGAAAGATTACGATAATTTGGTGCGCGTATTGTTGGACCATATGGATATGGCTGAAGAGGCTGTGAGGGTCGTTCGGGAAAGTCGTTCTGTTGAAGGAGCGAAGCATGTTGCGAAGTACGTGAATAGCTAGATATTTCGAGACGTAGATGCCTGAAACGATAGTGCCTCCTGTCGAACATTTCGAATATCATTTATTTTCCATTTTACAGATTCTTCACAAAACTTGGCGAACACACTTCAGCCATCCAATTCCTGGTCTTGTCACAATGTCAACAGGTAAGGAAATGTTATTTTAATAGCTTCTTGTTTTTCTAGGAAGCTTACCAACTGGCCGAGCAAACAGGAAAGATGGAAGATTATGCAGAAGCGCTGGGAGATACCGGAACTGTCGAACAGGTAATTAAGACTGGTTTTCCTTTAAAACTGCTGTTTTTAGTACGCCCAAGTAGCCGATTTCTTTGCCTCGATGGGGAATACACTTTTGTCCGGGACTTATCATTTCAAAGCCGGGCACTATGCCGTGGTAAGTAACTTTTTCGCAGCTTTAAACTCACTTTGAATTGGTCGGCACCGACTTACGATTTCAGGCAATGGATTACCTCTTGTCCCTCGGTGAAAACTTTGAAGCACTACGAACTGCGATTGAATGTGTAGCTGAAGCTGGGGATCAGGGATTGATCCATCGATTGACTCAATTTCTACTCGGCGAAACTGATCAGATCCCAAAGGTAATTAGCATATTAATTTTATCATACTATTTTCAAAACCAGGACCCGAAATACCTATTCCGAATGTATGTTGCACTGCATATGTCACGGGAAGCAGCCAAAACCGCCGTCGTCATTGCAAAGTAATTACATATAATCTTTATTTAATTAACAATATTTTAAGAGACGAACAAAATCGAGGAAATTACAAAGTGGCGCGAGATCTACTATTTGCCATGCACCAGGTAAATTAGTGATTACAAAAAAAAATACGCTATTTAGGACTTAAATGACAAAAACATTGCGGTACCGAATGAAATGCAATACAGCATGATGCTGGTCCATTCATATTTGATCGTGCGGGTATTTTTACTATTCTTATGCAACAGAAATTTTTCGCAGAATCTGATTAAACGCGATGATACCATGCATGCGGCCCGGATGTTGATACGAGTTGCGCAGAATATCAGCTGGTTCATGACTCGTATATTTTTTTCGTATATTCAGCTGAAATTTCAGATTCGGTGTCGATTCTTACGTCAGCTGTTGTAATTTGTACCAAAGCTGGTTTAAGAGGTTTTTAGTAAAAAATGTTTCGCATATTAAATTCTTTTTAGGAGCTGCTCATCGATTCGCGGTCCAACTGATGCAAGCGGAAAATCGGAACAAAATTGATGTCAAATACAAAAAGAAAATTGAGCAAATTGTTCGGTGGGTTTGCCATCGTGGCAAAAATATTAGAAAAATTTTTATGAAATGTTTGTTTGTATATTGTTTTGTTTATAGAAAAACCGATAAGCCGACTGATCCTGCTGAGCCAGTAGTTCCGTGCCCATTCTGTCGACATCCAGTCGCAGAGACAGAATTGAGCTGCGTGATGTGCAAAAATCAGCTACCGTATTGTGTGGTTACGGTAGGAGGGTAGCCAGAAATCCGATAACCGGATTATAGGGACGGCATATTGACGCTGATGATTTTGCACTTTGTGAGGGTTGTCATTTCCCAGGATATTTTAGTGAATTCAAAAGGTAAGCTAGAAGGTAAAAAAGGAAGATTAGTGTCGTCGAACAGCACGTGTTGATAAGATAGCTTAACAAGCTAATCATTTCAAAATTTTATTTAGACTCGCCGCTCTAGGCGAACCTTGCCCAATGTGTGCAGCATCTTGTGGTGATACTACACGAGCCGACTGGGACTCCTATGTACTTGCTACGCGGAAGAAAAAGGAAGAACTGTGATCGAAACAATGCTCGTTCAATTTTTATGAGGGTCGACAAAAACTGTTGTAGTCACAATAAAATATTCAGAATGCCGGCCCTTCGCATAAACACACAGAAGTTATTTGTAGTTTAGCCTATTATTGTTAGAAGGTTGTCGTTTGACATTTACAGAAGCGTTTCGATGCCAAGCGCTATTCGTTTTTCGCTTTTTACAGACTGTATAGCAGTTATCAGCTGACCTCGAAAAATATCCGCCCTTGAGCGCAGTTATCAGGGCATATTGTTTTCCTTTCAGCGTTCTGGTTCTGCGTTTTCAAGAGCAGCAGAAATACCGATTAAATCGACGAATCTTCGAGAATCGTTGAGATTTCCTTTACTGTCTCCATTATGTCCCGATTGTTGTTTTGTTTTTTAATTTATGGGCCGTTTTCTATTATATATGTCCAAAATTTTCGGCTCAAACTACTCGCATACAGCCGCGCCCCGTTGTTTCACAACGGCTTAGTAACGCGAGACATTTTGACTTGTCGATGACCAGACCGGGACAACGGATCAACCGGTGAAAACGCCCCATTCAAAACGACGCGAAGCTTCGCTTCAGATGTGCTCAAAACTAGCCCCTCCAGAGAACCTACATTCCGCATACGCTACTTTTTGCTGTTGTTGACCTGTCCCCGAAATTTGGGCAGCTGTCCTTCCATCCGCTTAGCTTATCACCCCCGTTATGCTTCACCGTTTGCAAAAACTGTTGGAGATTATCTTCCATTGGCCCGAACAGTTGGCCAGCGGTTGGCATATTTCAAAATTTTGCTCGTTGTGCCCGCCATGTTCCCAGCGCTGAAAACGATTCCCATTCTTTATAGCGCCATCCCATGACCACAATGACAACGACAAAGGGGAAGGTCGTGTTGGTCGGTGCCGCTAATGGTAGGTTTTTTTCATTAATACATTTGATCTATTCCATAGTTCAGCTTTCACATCTTAAGACCAGATCTATTACCTGAAATGATTGTCTAGGCGGTAAATCGGCGATTCTACGCCGCCTTATGTACAAGGAATTCGACACTGACATGAGGTCGACAATCGGCATGGATTTTTATACAAGAAGATACCCAATTAATCTGGAAAAGGTGCTAGAGGATCCGTCCTCCGCTAACCTAATCCATTCAGAGTATAACTCTACAAATTTGGGATACTGCTGGGGAAGAAAGATTCAAAATTCTAATGCCAGCCTACTTACGCAATGCTCAGGTGGCGATCATCGTCTTCGATCTCTCAAGTAAGCAAAACCAAATTCTTTCAGCCAGTTTAGGCGGAAATGCTCCGGAGCAAGTGACGAAATGGGTCAATTTTGTCGATCGGCAACGTGGTGATGAAACAAAACTAATCCTTGTTGGCAATAAAGCGGACTTGAAAGGGATCCGGTCCGTTTCCAAATTACCAATTAAATCTGTTTAGAAGACCTAGTAACGCTGCATTGAAGAAATTAACGGCAGAACTAGATGTACCATACTTTGAGACTTCTGCCCTGACAGGTGGGTGACCGGGGAAAGACGAAATGAGGCGCGCCAAAAACAGCAAAGCGGAATGATTTTAATTCGCTTCGCAATGATGCTCATGACCTTTCAGGTGAAAACATCGAAGAGCTGTTTCAATTAGCAGCTCAATTATCAGTCCCCGTCAACCAGAAAGATGATCCCGAAACTTTCCGTAAGTTGCCACATAGACATAAACACATAGAAATCTAGGTCTCGACCGTACGAAATCGATAATTCGGGCAAAAAACGGATGCGCCTGCTAGGTCGTGCATAAACGGGTTTTCGTCCCAAGCACTGTACGCACATCTACTAACAGTACTTGTTAACCTCCATCAAGCGTAGCCTTGGAAGGCAAGGTATCACAAGGTTTTATTCCGAACAAGGCATTGCCTTCGAGGATACATGCTGACAAGAAACGACCAGATATTAAAAAAATCATAATACAAACACTAGCGAAACACAGATTCTTACAGAGCAACAGTGAGATTACTGAAGGATGAGACCGATTTTCGAGGGATCAATGTCCGGGCACTTCCAGTTGTAGAGATAGTATTGCAGGTTTCCGTCGCCGATTCCGAACTTCAAGTCCTCGAAGAACTAAAAAGAAAAATAAATCTATGCCGTTTGTCTCACCTCTCGGTTCTGCATTAAATCGAGAGCGTTGAAGACATCGAAACCAGCTTTGCGGGCGACGACTAGCGCGTCCAGCATGAGCTGCTTCAGTGACACGGTGTTAGCCACGGTATAGTACGCATAGGCGGCTTCAATGCGTTTGTGGGTCGGATGGTTCATCACGGACGACGGCAACGAATAGAACGAGAACATGTCGGTGATCTTGCCTCCAGTTTCCACGACGTAGGTGTAGATGACATTGTCCCTAAAAAGTCATAAATTCCATAAGATCAAAGAAAACCTTGGCATGAAGATATGTTCGAAGTCGGTGGGCTCAAATACCGGGACAAGAGAATAACCGTTGAGATGAGTGTTGAGCAGATTCATGGCTTGTTCGAGATCCCTAAAAAAGGTTTTGCTAAACACGCGAGTTATACTTTTTCTCAAGCGGACGGAGCCCGACAGTCTTCGTCTCATCAGGCACTTTGTACAGCTTCACCGTGCGAAGCATCGTCATCTTGCTGGACAAGGCCGAGAAACGGCACTAAAATCATCCAGTCATTTGCCATAATCACACTCACATCGATAAGTTTCTTCGGGTTAAGCGAACGATGGTAATAACGGCATACGGAAACCGGTTTTGGCAAGACGACGCCGGCGGTGAAAGCCGCCTAAATGGTTCAATTGTCAGAAAGTATTTGAAACACTCACCTGAAAGATCCCCTGTTGATTTACCCGTCGCGTGATTTCGCGAATCAGAACTGGAGCCACCCGTTTCTGGCGCAATTTCTTGTGGACACACAAGAAATTGATCTCCACCATCTTCTTGGTCTAAAAAAAACAAAAAGTAACAAACGTTCCCAGCGAGTATCTGGTAACAATGCGAATATAATCACCTTGTCGTAAATGCGAACCGCCTGTGGAATGGCAGAGATGAATGCGACCAACTTCTTACTGCTCGCAGCTCGCACCCCACAGTGCCATTGCGGGAGCCACCCTGGAAGAAAAACGATGAAACTAAAATGCCACCGATTTACCTGGAATTTGCAACGCCCATTTCAGGAAATCCGATGAGTAATCGAAACGGAACATGTTATCGTCATCTTCGACATAATTGTCCGACAAAAGAGAATACAACTCCTTCAGCTGGGCGGGATCCTAAACACAAAACTCATATTCTCAAAGCTGGTTTCACCTCAAGGTCCACATCGCTCCATTCAAACGGTTGGGGCAGAGAGAAGGGCTCCGAGCGGATCTGGAAAAAATCATAACGAATAGGCGAGGCAAACTCACAAGTGATGGTTCCTGATCGGGCTCGATAAAAGTGTTTTCTTCGACCTTTTCGTCAAACTTCGGGACGGGCTGCGTGTTCCAGAAATTGAACTGGTGATTCCGGGCGGCATCCATGTTACGTACAGATCCCTGCGAAAAGAAAGTTAGTTCACAACCGCTAAAACAACCTGTTCTGCCATAGCTAGCTGCGTCGCAAGTTCGAGCATCTGAATTAAAATATTGTTGTTAACATAGAAGCTCGCGAACCGTTCTCATGTTGGCTTCCTGTGTGGCAACAGCAGCCGGGTCCGGCTTTTTGGTCTCGGACCCAGATTCCACGACCTGACTTTCCGCATCTTGTTGCTCCTGGGGCTTGGCTATCGGGTGGGATTGGGTAGCATTGTCCTTCTTCTTGCCCTTAGGCATCCCCTATAAGAAATTGTCTGAGTGAAATAGGAAAAGGACCGTGTGAAAAGTAAAATAAGAAAAAGGCTCTCAAAAAATCCGTGAAAGACCTATCCGCACAGGAATGGGCGCTATTGCGGTTTGCTGGCCCCACTTATATCGGGCCAAAACCGAATGTTTCCGGGCTAGTTTTTTGCGCTGATTACGAAAAACATCATCCCGAATCGCGAAAGTTCTGTTTTCCAGAAAAAAAAACTAAATTTCATTTTTTTAGGTTTGGATTTGCAGGGGTAAACTAGGTTTTTGAATTGAGACCTGTAGACTGGTGGAACAACTATTTCCAAGAAGATTAGTTCATTGCAACCGTTTTTACCTAAAAATAAGGCTTCGTGCCACCGGGGGCCTAGTCGCTTCGGATGGGTGCGAGCTCGTACAGGGTTTCGAAATGGGGGCGCCAAGGCCGGCGGGCAGCCAGGCCAAGAAACAGTGCGCGCTCGTTCATATGATTTGCGTGCTGTAAGGAAAGGTATTGGCTAGAAACCCAGCACCGCAGAGTGTGGTAATAAAAGTCAGGCGGGCCTAATTTTTAATCTGGGAATTTTAGGAATGATAAACGATTTGGTGGTTATAAGTTTTCGGATGGCTAGAGGGCACGCGTTTTCCCTGTCAAGCGGATTGGGGCGTAGCTATCGTGGGGCTGCTGCAATAAAAACCTCAAATAGAAAGAAATCTTAAATTCTGAATGGAATTGTCTAAAAAATGCGCTTTTAAATTTGTTGTAATAAGAAAGAGATAAACAGGAAAAGCGCGTCCGGTTGGTATCTGAGATTAAGGGCCTCTTCTCGCGTTCTATTGCAGGTGTTGCCTAGGCAACATGCCGGATGCTAGTAAGGAGGATTGACTCTACGGCTAAAAGGAGTTTAAAAAAAGGGTTTTTCGGTTTTTGAAATATCTAAATTCTCGTTGAAACAAAAATGGTAAAAAAAAACAAATTCCCCTCAATCTCACCAAAATCCTACAAGATGGTCAAGTTGCAAAAGCCCGATTTCTATAAATTATCACAAACGAAAATTGATAGCAGAACTGTAGTTGTAGAAGAAACATGGGCCTAATAATACAGCTAGGAGCATTTATGCCAGGCCCGAAAAGGTTTTCAAAAAGGAAAAAATTCAGTGGAGCTTATGAAAGCGCATATTTTGAATCGAGACGCGGGGTTCAAAACATAAGAATAATAATAATATGTTTACTGCTAAGTCGCCAAACAGAAACAAATAAAGAAAAACAGACATACTATCGAATGCTTGTTGTGCGAGCACAATTTTAGGATGCTTACGGTTTTTTGCGCCGAACAAGCTTGAAACATGGGTTTTGAAGAATACCGGAACTGCTAATTGAGTGTGTGCATATTATTTACCAGAAAGACATGGCAACCTAACGATTGACCTGCTGACAGCCCAAATGGGAGGCCAGCTGCGAGCTGTAGTTGTGTTGGTAGGGAGATCGGGTCTCTATGGGTCTGGCAGGCAGGGGGCCTTCCCTCGCTGGCTGACCGTCTTTCCCTGCCGAACAGCTGGGCCCTCATTTGGGGGTGCTCGTCTGTAATCAGGAAAAATTGCAAAAATAATATGCCATTAACCGGGCATAATGACCGGTGGTTGTGTTGTACGCGCTGCATCAAGGTTCAAACAGCCATGCAAAAAAATTCTGAACAAATTTTGTAATGTAAGCGCTTGCTGAAATGCGTGAATTTTGTTATGTAATTTGCATGGCTGCTTTTTAGAACAGGACTGGAATATAAACTAGACGCAGGTTTGTTAACAAGGGGAAGGATATGTCTAGATCTACAGTTTTTTACTGTAGTGTCTGCTGGAAAAATATACCTGGTAGCCATATACCCAAATCCTCTCACCCAACGCACCCTGCCACGTGCACTACACTGCCATGTGATCTGCGATCAAAAACCGAGAATATTCTAGCCTCGGGGGGAAGATCAGAGTACTGACCGGATAAGGATCGACCTAGCCTAACATCCCCCCGGTCACTAGATTCATTTCATCATATTTGCCCAACATTTTTCGCAATTTTGGGTTTAATGCCTCCATTGTTCTAATTCCCTCGTAACTCCCCGTCCCGATCTGACAAAAAATTATTGACCTAAAAAATGAGGTGCGCCACGCGACGCGGACAAACAAGCAGCCGACATGGGTGGATGTATCAGAAGATGATTAGGGATCTGGAGTCGAGTGTTTGATGTCCCCTCCCATCACCACTCTCATCCATATCCAGACACGGTGGTCGTCACGATTCGTCTGCGTACCGCCGCTTTCACAATTTCACTTGTCGGTTTGGTCCATTTAGCTCTATTCAGCCCCGGTTAAGTGAGATTTTTGTACTCTGCTTTTTGTTCAATGATTTTTAGACAGGGGCAGGCGGTTAGGAAAGCAAAAATACAATGAACTCTCAGTAATTTGCCTGGGCTTTGCTTTTTTGGTCAGGGGAGGCGGTTTCTAATAATAATATGCCCTCGAGCAGGGCGGTTTGTTGTCATATAAATGGTTCGTCACGCTGTTTGTTTACATTGGCATAAGGAAATAACAGAATTCTCTGCTCCAATACGATGCGACTCCGCCGTGTTTGATAGCTGAGAATTTTACGTTCATTTTCTGCCGGTAATTTTGGTATACATAACACTACAGCGGCGCATAATAATTTTTTTACGGTTTCCACGCTTGCTTTCCCATGACCGACCATAATGGAGACGCCCTGAATTGTCGTGTAAAAATGCAGTTTTGTCTGTCGGACCTCTGCCCGATTCCCAGAACCGTACTCTTCGACTTGTCATGCGATTTCTCTCGACACCCATTCAGCCGCTTTCGTATCGACATGATCCGACGGCGGTTGTGTCTTTGAAGATTTTCGATTTATTTGCACCCGGTGGGATTGCTTAGTTATAATTTCTTTTTAGAAATAAGCATTAATTATTGTTGGCAAATAAATCGCAGAGCAAAATAAGGAAAAAAAACTCGTTTGAGGGCTTAGCCTGGTTTAATTGTCATTGAAATCAATCGAAAATTTGGAAGCGCCAAAAATTTATTCTCGTACTTGCGGGTGTGATGAATTTTGATAATTAGTATTTTAATTAGCAAGTAATTTTATATAATTGTAGACTAAAGGGCAGCTAAACCGGTTTGGCGCTTTACCCTTTGCCCGCGCGTGGCTGTCAATCGGCATTGACATTTTGTTCTGGCCGGAACTAAAGTCCGAGTAAGCATCGACACACCCACGCGACTGACATCCCCCACCGCCCAATTTGATAATAATCCGAGAGTCGCTTCCCTTCACTATTTTGTAGCGAAAAAAGGTTACGCAGATAGCACCGAAAACCGCAATTTTGTGCCAAAGAAACTAGGACCCTTCTTTTTTATAATTCTTTTTTAGTTTTTCAATCATGGCTACGCTTTGCAAACTCTTCAGCCCTGACATTCCCAACAATTCCAGGGAAACAATTTGTTTTCCAGCGTGAATCAATCTATTTTCATTGGAGGCTCATTCACGAGCTTTATTTAGAAATCGCTTCAAAATAAACGTTCAGTTTATTTCTCTCCATTTCGCAAAAAAATCTGGACAATTAATTTCAATTTTCAGATGGCCTGGGATCAAGCTGCGAAAATTGTGAGGCGATCATGGATATTTTTGGCGCCTCTTTCACTATCTGGGCTATTATTTTTTCAGAGACCTGTAAGTTTGGTCTAAGCGCACTTAATTACCTCTTAATAACTACATAGCCTATTATTTTTCTAGGAATTCAACTGCTTATTCGCAATCGGTCTTATGTCATTGTATTGGATTATGGAGACGGTTCCGCTTCCGATCACATCTCTACTTCCGGTTTTCCTTTTCCCACTACTTGGCATCGCAAAAGCCGAGGATATCGCTAAAACGTATACAAATGTAAGTTTTATCTTGTCAAAGATAAAATATCATAATTTAAGGACACTACAATGATTCTATTTGTTTCTCTGATTATGGGAATCGCGGTTGAAGAAACCCACCTACATTATCGTGTTGCGCTAAAACTTTTGACGAAGGTCGGTACTCGACCTCCGATTCTCCTGATGGGCTTCATGTTGACTACTTCTTTTATGTAAGCGACCCAACAACTAGGAATATACCTAAAATTATTTCTAGCTCTTTTTTCGTGTCCGATTCGGCAACAACGGCCATTATGATCCCGATCGCGGTTGCTATATTAAAAGCTATGGTCAAAAACGTAGATGTTCATGGGTAAATTAAAAAGTTCAATTGTAAATACCTTTCTTAGAGCGTCAGTTGCCGAACAGCTGCGTCTAAAAAAACTTTCCGCAATGCAAAAAGGTTTATACATTCGCGAAAATAAAACGAATATCTTAGGGTTTTGTAAGGCCCTAATCATGGCTTGTTCACAAGCCAGTCTTATTGGAGGCACTGCCATCCTTACTTCTACAGCTCCAAATTTGATTTTTCGAGATGCGATCAATAAGTGGGTCAAAGAAATCGTAAATAAAAATCATTTAGATACTACTCGTCGATCCCAAGCCTGCAGCTAACTTACCTAAAATGGTGTCAATTTGCCATTCCGCCAATGTTTGTCTATTTGCTGGCCGCCTATTTGATCCTGATCGTAATTTTTCTGGAGAATTATAGATTTTTTTATTTAGTGCTATTTTATTGGGCCAAAGACGTTGCTTTGTTTCTTTAGAAGTCAATCAGGTTAGTAAGATTATACGTAGAAAATTAAAATCGAAGAATTCAGAAGAGGAGAAGAAAGCCAGTAAAGACATTGAGAATTCGGTTTTGGACTCCTATAATCGACTTGGGAATATCAAGTAAGTGCCTTGAGCTTAGAAAATAATTTTTTTAAATAGATCCTCCGAAATGTCGGTGATTATCTTATTTTTGATATTGATTTTGACTTGGGTGTTTCGAGCGCCAGGGTTCATGCGCGGATGGGCAGATTTTCATTCCGATCCGTAAGTTTTCCATGGAAACGAAGGATTTGTTTAGAGAAATGTTTACCGACGCGTCGAGTGGCATTGTGATTGTATTTTTGCTATTTATTTGCCCACGGAATTTTCCAGTATTTTGGTAGGTTGTAGGAGGCTCTATGTAAATAAGTATTTTTTAAAGTGACGATTTACAATTTATTGCTTAGGAAATCCTACAAAAATGATAAAGTGAGGACGGAGGATATTGAAGTGGACGAGATTCGAGTTTCATCGGTCGATGCCGATGGCGGAGATTTCCATCCTGATCCGCCACCTCCAAAAGAACCCTCAACGATTCTGACATGGGAAATTGTACATAGGAAAATGAGTTGGTCTGTGTTGTTGCTAATTGGTGCTGGATTTGCAATTTCAGACGGTGTTAAGGTATGAAATCATCTTAGAGGTGTCAAGAACTTCAAAACGATTCTAGAGAAGTAAACTATCTTCGATGGTGGCTTGTATGGTGCTTGGTTTTGAAGATTATAATCCTATGTTTTTACAGGGTAGGTTACATAGAACGGATCGTTAGAAAATATCAGGGATAGTTTACTAATCTTTTTTTAGTGATTGTTACCGCTGCAATTGTGGTTACTACCGAGTTTATGAGCAACTCGGCTGCAGCTAGTATTTTTGTACCGATCGTCCAGTCCGTGGTAAATTAAGCTCAGCTTGCAAGAAGTTTTTTTATAGTCAGTGAGCTTACGCCTACACCCGTACTACCTTGGGATCCCGTCAGCCATTGCTCCCTCATTTGCATTCATGCTCCCCACCGCCACGCCACCAAATGCTCTTGTTTTTGATACAAGAATCATCCGTTTTCGCGACATGGTGGGTCCAATTTGCGTTAGATATTGCTGGACAGTTCTGAGCTACAGACTCAAAAATGAATTTAGGTCTTCGTTGGTCTAATTCTAAACATCTTCTGTGTAGTCATCACTGTATTTTTCACAAACACATGGACCTATTGGCTTTTCGACATGGGAACTCAGCAATATGACAGCAATCTGACCGCTGGCCTCTTTTCCAATGAGACCTGTAACTAAGATTTATTCTGATTATACCCCTAACTCTTTATGCCTTCAAATAGCAGTAGTTTGAGCTACAGTATTTCCCCTTAATAATATGTGAGATAGTTCAAACCTCTTCAAAATCACTTTGAAAAATCCGGTACTTCTATTGCCTTTCTTTTCTCATTTCTTCGGGTACATTGTAAAAGAAATGTGATGAAACCCCATAACTGTCTCCTGAAAGTATTAAAGCAAAAATAATCGTTCACCGCACTTTTCAATCCGCCACCTTTAATTTAACTTAACCAATTTTTCTGCAAGATAATAAAATGTTTATTATGAAAGGTGTAGCACCGATTTTGTCACACGCAATATAATCTCGAGGTTTTTTGTAATTTCGGATCAGCTTCTCAAAGCCGGGTGTCGAGGGGTACCAAGCTCTCTTTCGTCACAGGGGATTTCGGTAAATCGTTCTGAAAGTTTAATTTGAGTGGTTTTGCGCAATTTTTAATAATCTTCCAGGTATAGAAATTATTAGTTGTTAGATACTACAAAAACTATAAAAATATGGCTATCTACTGACCTAGGTCGCGTACCTCGATTCCTATCCGGCTGAGGAATATTCTTCGAATTGGTCGGTTTAGAATTAGAAGTACTGGAGCGTTGCTGGCACAGAGGACGTCGTTAACGACAAACCTTAAAATTACAAATTTTTTGTTAGCTTAAATCGATTTAGAAAGCCTGAAATTAGCGTAAAAAATACCGGAAAATTAGGTTTTAGACTTACCATAATGTTCTGTAGTTATAAGACCAAGTCTCTGTCGGAGGCGCCAGAGCAGAAAGTATCTAAATAAGTCTATTAAAAAATAATTATGTACATTACCGAAAATACTCCCAGCGCTAAATACGACACAAAAATGACAAATGCCGATAGGGCCAGCCGGGCGACTAGTTGTTCCGGGCGTCTGACGACAACATGGGACCTGAAATTTAAAAATTCTTGAAATAAATCTCAATATTTTTCATTAATACACCGCATGCTGCACACTACACACTACACACTACTTACTCGCTTAGCGATTTTGCGTGGCGTCTTAAAATTGTCTTTTTTTGTAAGAAATACAGGATTTTCCGCTTACCTAACTCTCACAAACATTGCGATATACAACGCGGAAACGATGACGTTTATCACAACCCCATCAACAAACGCAACGCCCATAAAATAGGCCTAAAAAGTTAACGAATATGAAAATGACCCTTACTTTATGAACCACTGGATCTTTGGCTGTGACGGATACAGAGCCCGTCACATGGTCTGTTACGAAGGAGAATTTGGTGAAGAATAACGGGATTACGACCAGCACCGGGATCGTCCATTGTATAATTAGGAGTAGGGTTGTTGTCTAGAAAAATTTATATGGAAAGATAAGCTTTATCCTACCGAAGGTTTCCACCAGACTTGTTTATGTTGGATTGGGTAGTAGACGGCGGTGAATCTAAAGATACCGGATTGTTATGATTTTTAAATATTTGGTAAGTTTAGAATCCCCAAAATTTAACCTGGTAATAGATTATATTTTAATTATCCTACGAGGGGTGGTTTTTAGGCGATAATTTTGTTTTTAGGTGTCGTAGATGCGGTTTGATAAAATTTAAAAGACAAAAAAAATAAGGGTTTTCAGTTTTTGAACGATAACGATTCGTTTCGGATTTTTTGGGAAAATGCAACGGAAGCAGACATTGGATTTTTCAAACTACAAAACTATATCCCCCCTAAAAACAACCCCTTGTTAGTAAATTCTGTTCAATGACAAATCAAAAACGCCATCTCCTGATCCCAAAACTCTCCCCATTCATTTCCGCTGATTATCACCATTTTCGGAAGCTGTTCAATATCACGTCAGTCTACACGACAGACACATAGATAACGTCATTTCGAAGAAATTTCTGCCTGCAACGACAACCCCCATGCTGGCGCCAGCAGAACGGAATCTTTTTGCTCTCCCCAAGCATTTGCTAGGAACTGTGATGGGGCCTGATAAGGGGCTGATTGAAGCCGCAGTGGAACCGTGAGAAATTATGCCGCTACCTGTGTGACCCCACTACGTCAGCGCCCCCAGCCCGAAAATCCGGATTGCCACCGAACCCAGTACTCACCGGTTTATCGCGATGAAAATAATCCCGATGGCTTGTGCGTGCACCAGGTAATTGATGCCGGCTGAAAATGGTCGGATGAATGATGTTTGAGGTGGAAAACGCAGATTGAAAAATTGAGGGATACCTATCGGCACCACTGCCCAGCTTTCGGTAAAAATCGAATCCGGCAACCAGCCAAAGATTGGCATTTTGAACAGGATCAGCGAGAACAGGGCCATCAAAATGTCGGCCATTGATAAGTGAATGCAAAGCCTAAACAAAGCGATTTGGTGCGCCTATAAAAACAGAGGAATTCGGCCGTGACTGCAAAGTTTTGTATAACGCTGGTATATAAGAAGTTATATATAAACTCCTTACCGAAAAAATGGGGTCCCGAGTATTGGATGTTTCGGTTCTCGCAGTACAATTATGACAAATAAAATATTGATAGGTAGGCATATTAAGGAAATGGCAGTCGAGGTATATTCCACAAAGACGCCAATCCCTGGGGATGACATCTGAAATCACAAAATTAAAGAAATAAATAAAGCGAAAAAATTAAAAAGCGGAATGTAGATGGTACAAATTGATCATGTGATTCAAGCACGCGGTATAGAGTGGAAAACAGAGGGCAACCAAACGGATGTCCGGGAAGAAATTATGCAAAGCTGCATGACGTTCAATGGTTTAGAGGGAGCAGGGTGATCAACGAGTTTAAGCAAATAATTGTGACGGGTTTCGTCTATTTCACTTGCTTAAAGCGACAAAATGCAGATTCTAGGTTTATAAACTGCATCCATGCTACAGACTCCCCCAGCAAGGATCGATCTCCTTTTCCCATAGAAGTGTGCGGAGGCGTATTTATCCAATAGCTTTAGAGATGCTGTTTGTCCTCGTGGGAAAATCCGGGGGTGCGGACAGTCGCCTCCTTGACCTGCACTTCGCGCCATCGTTTGGCAATATAAGAAAAAAAAAAATCGAAAAACTAAGGCTAAAAAATTCGGTTTTGGCGCCTAAAAACCTATGTACACGCCAGAATGCTATAGCGACCAAATTTGTCGCCACACTAATTCCTAGAATGACTCGGAAGCCACCGGCCGCCGCGCAATATACCCACCGGCCTTCGGTAGCCTTAAATAAAACAGATGCCCAAACCGGCCAGCCGAAGTTTATCGCAAGTGCAACCTGCGTCAGAGCTTTCTAGGCTTCTCCCGTTGCCCTCAAGGGGGGATCTCGGACCGGGGAAAAAGCATAAACACTTGCAGATGGCCACTGTCGACTAGCTGAAAAACGGGGGGCTGAGGCAAATCTGGAAGGTATTAGTGGGCAGCTGACATTCGGCTATCCTTGAAACTTGCTTCAATGGTCGTTTGGTTAAATCCGGTGGGGTTGGAGAGACAAGAGGACGTGCTAAAGTCTATCAAATTTCAAATGTTCACAGAAATTGGTCGTACAGATCGTCAGATACAAAACGTTTGAAAGCGAATTAAGATAGGTATAGAAATCCGTTCTTACTTGCTTATATAAAATTTCCACTTAAGGATAGCAGGAAGTGCAGCTAGCCCAACCACTACCCAATTTCCAATAATTATACCGTGCCATTTAATTATTTAATTTTAGCAACTGCCCCAAAAATCGGTGAACCCAAGAAAAAAGGCGCGATCAGATGCCGGGTAGCGCTTCCGAATTGCCCCCATAAGCGGCTGCAGGAATCAATGGTCGCCGCCGTATTTGCCTGCCTTGCCGAGCCTTATCGAAACTCTCCCCCTCCTTGCTGTCGAATGGCCGAGAGTGTCAGTGTAACGTCCAAAAAGAAATTCCTAACCACAACAATCAGCCACACCAAAATGTGTCCGCGAATTAACAGCTCCTGAATTTGGGGAGGAGAGAGGGGGGACTATGCGTGAGATGTTTGGAGTTCCTGGATATACTTGCAGAGCACGGGAAGCGGCAGTAAAGGGACGCGAAATAGAATATCAGTCTCGCGACATTACGTTTGTATAAAATTTTGGTTTGCCGATTTATTAAACTAAGGTGTTTTCTATCTTTTATTCACCTAAGTGTAAATACATACATGTGACAGTCTTTAGTATACAAAATATGCTACGCCACTCAGAGAATTTAGCGGTACTAGCGATCGGGATAGTGAGAGTGACAGTATAATACTTCTTAATATTATTAAGAAGTCGATAAAATTTTCCTACCCCGTCGGTGAGAGGAGTCCAACATACCCGCTTCGCGTTAACGCTTACACGCCCGAAAAGCTAGCATAGTATAGAATTATCCGACCACGCTTGTTTGCAAATAGTATAAAAGCTACAGCGGTGTAAACATTAACATAAACAGCACATGCAAAAACGTTAAAATTCCAACGCCTACATTTCTTTCATAAACTAACTGCTGCGGGAAGGGTTGTAGTGCAAAATGTTTTCACCAACCGCAGACACCTTTATACATGAACATTCAAATAAACAAAACTCGTATAGTGACCAGATCAGTAGCCAATTGTGTTCAAGAGCCTTGATAAGTGAATTGCCGACTGTCGATGGGTTTGTGATGGAGGTTGGTGTTCAATAATTTTTAGACTTGGTTTAGGTCCATCATCATTTGTTCTTCGGGCCCATTGTTGTTCATTCGATCTTGTGCGCCCTGCAATAAAAATTAAATTTCAGGTGAAGCAATGGTTTTATTTAGTTTTACTAGATAGAACATACAACCGACCTTGACCAAGGCAAGAATCCAATCAGCTGCTGCGTTTCTGCCTGATCTCGCCTCAATTTCGTCAAGATGTGAGAAGAAATCTAAATAAAAAAGCATTCTGACTTATTATGAGGTAATTACGTAGAATAACCTTAAATATAAGGCAACTAACCAACAAAACTAACCATCTCGGACGTTAGGTAACATCAGTGCAGCCAGTCGGAAATATTCCTCTGCTTCTTCTACCGTCGTACCCGCACGGTCACACCCGCTTTGCAATAATCTAAATGTATTATGCTGTTAATTTTGTAATTTAACTGAAGAGTAAATTAATATGGATAGTTTTAGACTTACGATTCGTACCGCCGCATCGTTCGATCCGGAAAATAGGTCCTTAGAAGATCACGGAAGCCCACAAAAATTAGTCCCAAGCATACCGCCCTGAAAGAGAAATATGTACACTTAAAATTGCACTCAAAAATTATTTTCGCAATTAGATTTCAAGGTTTGGTATAATTAACGACTTACTCGGCCATCCACGTCATTCCAGAAATTTTAGTGTGAAAATTTGCTCCGATGACGTTATTTCAGTTTCTGAAACAACAAAAATTTGGCATTGAAGTTGATAAAGCTCGGAAATTGACAGGAAAGCGCTTGCTGGCTTTGAAAATTGCCTAAAAATTACTCAAGCCACCCAGCCATCACTCACCAAAAAGCCTAACTCGTACGCCCACGTTCGGAATATATACAATGAGGGCCAAAGAGTTGCCCGGTTTTGACAAACCCTGTGAAAGTTTGGGAGCTAATATTGATTAATAGCGCGCTCACGCCCATCGGGAATCGGAGAAAAAAACGGATGGCTGGAGGGATGGAGGGACCTACTGATTTGATAAGGTCTCAATGCTTGGCATCTATACAGCTTTGTGCCATGGGGCATCAGGCGAGAATATATGGTGGTGTGGTGGATGATAGGGAATACGATACATTGAATTCCAAAAGACGGAGGTAACCAGAAAACACCCGCAATTTTCAAAGGAGTTTGACATTTTTGAGGGTTTTCATGGGTAATATTGACCGTTAAAGAGTCGCGAAATTCCATTGGCTCATTTTAGTTATCTACCATCAAATTCCAATATACGATGGATTCGGTTCATAATTTCCTAAGTATTCTGGTTTCTAGAACCACATGTAACCTCAAACTATTCGGAAAATGAAATGAAACAGCCGTCTGGCTGGCTGCGGATAACGGAAAAACGCAGAAGATTGAATTGTAGCTACAAAGCTTCTCTGACGGCCGGAACTGCTACCGGGTGTCTTTCTTAATACTCCAGGGTTAGCAAAAATTAAATTCATTATTTAAAGAAAAAATTAATAAGGGGCTATTTAAATATGTGTGGATTGAAAAAAGTTGTTTTTATACGGCAGCCATTATTATCAATCGGACAGATGCGGCCTTTTACTAAAAGGTATACACATAGTTAGCATCTCGTGGCACCACAGGGCTGTCAGGACCATTTTGCCAATTTGCATTAATAACCCGTTTACGTAGCGCCTTTCCAGCATTTTACTATGTATTAATATTGACTTCGGCCAGACAATGGTTTAGCCTTGTCCCATATTGAGTTTTATTTTCTTTACTCTCCTAACTCAAACCTCTAGACATTGTGTATGTTGTTGGATCCCTTTTGGAACAATAAACACCCTAACGCCCTTTCCGGACGACAATCTCTCTTGTGAATGACACACGTCTGTCTACCCATTCTCTCAATCCTCAACACTTCGCGTGAACGACAAAAAGGTTGGCACCTCCCAAGTGTGCCGGAGGTGGCCCATGGGGTCTCGAATCGAGGTGAGGGACTCAATTTATCAGCTTCTCCCCTTGCTCCTTCATGTGGGCATCCTTGGGTCGTTTGTTGATGGATGACCAGAACTGGGACCCGCCGACCTGGGCCACGATCTCCCCCTCCGGTTCGCTTCTCATCGAAACCCATTCCTGACCCGGCGCCAACTGACATGGCCCGCCCAGTTTTCGAACTAAATCACCCTTCACACCTTGCCGGAACGGCGGCTCGTTTATAAAATCATCGCAGCTGCCGTTGTAGTCCGGCCAAATATATAGTGATTGGTTACTTGGGTTAGGCGGGTTTTGCTTAGTTTTCTATAGGGCTATGCTAGGCGTCTTATGTATATAAATGCTGTCAAGCAAATCAGAAATTGAAGTGAAAGACAAGCAATTTATATAGAGGAAATCTTCAATTTTTTAATGATTTTACTGTGCCTCCGTTTTATCTCGATTTCGGACTGGGGTTTTTGGCAGTAATATCGTTAATTTGTACTGAGCTGAGCCCGATTAATTTTTTTAAGGTTGAGCCCGTATAAAGGGGTCGAGACGCCAAAAACCTGCCATCTAATTCGGTTTTAATAATACCTCAATGTTTATACATTTTCTCTATCCGTAATCTTGAACATCATGTTTAACCACGCTTTTAATTTCCAAATTCCTTTCCAGAAATCAACATAAAGATCCGCTCTACCTTCTTGAATTTCTGCCCCACCTCCTACGTATTGACGGTGAATGTTGCACCTTCTTTTCCTTACCTTGACGACACTCCAACTAGTCGAGGCACAAGGAAAGTTATGTGGCACCTACGGTAACAATTGGTCAGCTGAGGTACCTTAACAGTAAAAATAAAACGAAGTTTTTGGTAGATCCGATGCCTCCGCGCTTTGCTCTCTCAATGTCAGGGAGGACGATCCGGTAGCGGGCGTGGTAGCTTGACGATGACAAATCTAAATTATTTTGATGTTCTAGACACTCGTTCCAACCCGGTCTTTCCACGACAAGACTACCGACCAATGTATCAACCTGTATATAAACGTAATTAATTGAATTGCTCCTCAAAAAAATTAGCTGAGGGAAACCATCACTTTGAACGGGTCGAACCATGGCGATTTTATACCACTGCTGCCCCTACTACCACTGGTACGAAGAGTTATTATGTAACGGCATATCATTTTCCTAGTCGCTCCAATTGACGTGTGTTCTGATTGTGAAGAAAAAGTGAAAGCCAGTTTAATCGACGATTTGGATAGCAAATATACAAAACTTGAAGCGGATTTTGATGAGAGAATGAGGTGGGTAACTCCGCTAAAAATGGCGAGAATTTGTTCAGGGCTCTCGAGCAACGGCTGGACTCCGCAGGCCAGGGCAACAACTTCGAGCTGGAGAAGGAGCTTCGAGGATTGAAGGTATTCAGCGGATCCCGAAATTCTATTCTGATATACATTTTTAGAAAAAACTAGAGCTTTTAACCAGTCGCCTACATCATCGCGGGAACAAAGAATATGCCTACATGGAACGAAAAGTGAGATAACGGTTAGGTTTTTCTAACTCTTATCGGTCAGGAGTCGTGGTACGACGCGTCGGAGCAGTGTCATCTGTGGGGTGGTCGTCTGGCAAAGCCGAACAATAAGGATGAAAATGTGTATTTGGCAAGTGGGTGTAGGAAAAGCGGAAATGGCGCTTCCTAGCTCTCTCGAAAAACAGTATCTTTTAGAATTGCTTCCATCTGGTACAAATGCGTGGATTGCCATCAACGATATTCAAAATGAAGCGCACTTTGTTGATGATAAGAATGGAGCGAGTAATTATACTCGGTGGAGTAAGGGTAAGGAAAATAGTAGTATGCCTCACTAATGTTACGTATTCTGTCAGGCCAGCCCGACAACGGCAATCACAACGAAAACTGCGTCCTCATCCACTCGAACAGCGAATGGACCGATGAATTTTGCATGATCGCCCGCGACTTTTTGTGCGAGCGCTGAAATCAAGCGAATAATTTAAACGCGTAATAAATCCTATACTTGAGCAACAACCCTGTAAAAGGCATTTGGATGGACTGTAGAGCACTTTCCCAGGCAATTGGATCCACAACGGGTACAGCTGCTCAGAGGATGGTTCCGACCGGTCCCGAGGATAAGTGCCGCCAATCCGTGTCCACATGTTCCTCAATCTATCCAAATTTTGTGGGAAGGTTCGGACTATTAAAACAAGCGTTAGTAGAACTGGCCTTGGACCTAGAAAGCTTAACAACACCCAAACAATTCCGGATTTCGAGAAAAATTGCTTACTTTTCATAAAATTCTGTTATAGGAACGAAAAATGGCTTAAAATAAGCGTAGGGAATTAAGAAGAGAAGCTACGTTTATTTATTAATTACAGAAAAGCAAAGCTATTTTTATAAATTGTGCAAACAAGTTCGTACTAAATTTCCGTTCTAAAATTTAATATAATCAATGGTGGTTAATTATTCTTTTTAATGGCAAGTTCGCTACTCGCTACCACACCGTCTAAGAATTTTTTAATTACACGTTCCGCGTCTCACAGATATTGTCGAAGCTTTCCAGTTTAGGGCACACCATAGGGGGAGGATGAGCGTTGCGGGTTTCAGGGGGGCGGGCGTTGCGGGCGAACCATGGAAAAATGGAAGCGTTGGGTGGGTGGAGATGGAGTATGCACAGAACTTCTCCAACCCTGAGGGGTGGATCCACTGTAGATGTGTGTTTCTATTCGCTCGAACTTGTATCCGGGCTTTCGCTTGCTTATTTCGCTTGCTTTGGATTTTGCTCATTTTGCTGGAGGGGCCTTCTCTATCGGTTGTATTTATTAAACTTTATTTAGAACGTATAAAATGCGCTTCGTTATGCAGTTAAAATTTTAATTAATCCATTAAAATGAGCGCCATTAAATAAAAGTGGCTTTGTTAAGCCGGTGAACCTGGCGGATCCGTTCTAGGTCGAGCTTCCAATTTATTGCGAGATTGAGTTGCGCAAAAGCAAGTGATCTAGGTATTTAATTCTTATTTTCCTTATCTTGCTATTGATCAGAAGTATCAAAACGATACTCCTTTTTAGGGCCTGCCGAGCCATGCTGCGATTATTGCTACTATCTTCCTTACTACCGATAGGTCAGTTACCAACAAAATAAATTACCATTCTCAAAATTAAAAGTGCAACTTTATCCATAAATTCCGTGTCAAGGTCAAGCACTAAAAATCACGCTTTGCTACCGTGGCCCGAGACCGCACTCGAAGCGGGGGCTTTGACCCGGATCGGGGGGTGGATGGTGACAAAATCTTGTGCGACCTCAAATCGGCCTCGCCGGACAGCCTTTTGAATGAACGAATCCTCTTTCGTTGAGCCTCCGATATCTGGGACAATAATCTCCAAAGAGCAGTCTGAGAATGGAAGGGGAGCTGGTGCTCAAGTTCGTCTTGGAGAAAGTTTTAACGGCAACCAGCTGGGGTGGCTTTGAAGGGTGGTTAGGGGATGACGTTAGGAAAACGGAGTTACGATTAGAATAACGGGTCTTACGTCGATCATATAAAATTATCGAGACACCATGGAATAAAATCGGTTTATAGTTTATCAAATAGGTGTAAAATACAGTACAGCCATAATACCGTATCGAGAAAAACGTCCCCACCGATAATATTTAGTTTATTCTCAAATCGCCGCCGTCTATTCAAATGCGTCTCGCTCGGAAGATTGCTCAAATTGGTCCTCCTGGGGTAAGATTTATCAACTATTTATTTTAACTGCAATTTCGTGCCATCATCTCTGTACTTTTTACTCGAATTTTTTAGGTCCTTGCATCTGGCCCGATAAGGAGTCACCAGTACCCTATATCGAGCAGCTATCCCCCGTCTGCCAACAGCACTGGTTCTACGTCTTCATCAAACGCTATGAATCGGTAATGAGAATGTGACTTTTCCGTTAATTCACGATTCCAGGCGCTAAACAATTTCTACAACTACATGACCTTTGTCATGCGAAAATTCGAACCATGCGGCATGTGCATCTACAAGCAAAGCTGCGGCTTCGGCGGAGACAAGAAGTGCAACGTCAGCCCGTTCACGTAAGAGTTTCTACCGGGTTTTCATCTACAAGACAACGTATAAGTTCACATCAATAAGAAGAGCGATTTTATCTCTTGCAGGGTGCGTGGCGGGCGTCCTGTGGTGCCTTTTTATGTGGCCGAGAGGTTGTGCTCGACGAAGGATCTTTCAGGGAAGGGGCAGGTGGAAGCATGTGAGGTTGACTACGACATGCTCAAAGTGAGTCTTTTTGTGGATGGGGAGGGGAACCTCGTATGGACCGGTCCTAACGGTGGGTAGGTGGGCAAAACCTAGATTTGCGACTCTTTGGGGTGTGTCGGGACACTTCGATAACTGGATTTTCAGGGAAGGGTGGTCTAATCGGCCGAATAAAATCGTCGAAGCATTAATCAAAAATTACTTAATATTAAGCAAACTAGCTAGATACCTTCGTTTCAGGAAAACGGAGACGACGAATGCACCCTGTGGCCATCCCCTAGAGTCGATCTATCCTCCATTGAGCCAGCTTTCCGTGAACATATCCAAACACTAAAGTGGTACTCATGCCTACCGCAGACAAAGTAGGTCAAATTTTCCTTTAATATGCACTTTTAAATTAGGAAGTACCGCTCGAAGTCCGGAAAAACCAGACGCGAAAAGGTTTGCCGATGCTGCTGCTTCCCATTCCGTCCCAATCCGGTTACCTTCGAATGCGAACATCAGGTAATAATTTCCGAATTCCAAACAGCAACTAATAATCTAGACGGACCTTCCAATGGCTCCTGGTCAAGAACTTCTTGGTGAAAACCTCTCAATGGCCCGCGGTCCCAAGACGAAATCAAAGAAGATGAAGAGAAGACATCGTAGACCATCTCATTAGATCTCTAACACCAATTACTGTGATAACATTTAATGTATATTGTATCGGGGTAAAATCGAATTTTTGCAATAAAGTCACTTTTATACGCTCTTTGTGCCTTTCAAAACTGCGACTTGTATTAAATATAGTGGATTTTAATATTTATATAAAATTTCCATATGCAACTTACGAAACGGACACATTCTGAGACACGACATTACGGCGCGGCAAATACATGCGGTTCGTAGGAATTCAGGCACGACCATTCTATTAAAAAACAATTTCGCATACATATCCACGAGTGAATAATTGGAGATATGACACTTATCCGGAGAGAATGGAGAACGAGCTCGGGTCAATTGCCAGTACAGCAATAGCTATTTCTTCTTTTTGAAAATCACATTGGGTACGAGAACTGATGTCGCTTCGGGCCAACAATAATACGAATTCGGTCCGGAAAGATGACTGGGAAAGAATCTGAACACTACGATAGCATACAGAGGCCCGATATCAGCGGAAAACTGGAACGGAAGCCACATCGTAAAGCTTATCCTTTTATTTTAGTAAATTACGGTAATATTTTTTCGGCTTCGTCTTTAATTACTGGCAATGTAGAAAATTACTGCGTACCCGTGACTTAATGTTTCAAACCTCCGATTTCGTTAAAAATTGTTTTAATACTTTCTTTTTGATATGGTCGCCGTTCCACAGTTATATCCTGGCCCAAAACCTACTGAAATATTCATAAAAGGGAAAAAGGGATGACACGTCTCGCAGGGAAAACGAAAAAAACAGGGAAGGCATGGGTAAAATGGTATCCATGAGTATTGAAGGGGAATTGGACATTTAGAAATGAGGCACGGAAAGAAGGGGGGATGCAGAATGGACGAGGCATGATCGGGCATTCGAGATGGCAAATGAGCAACACCAAAAAAGGGGATGGGGATTGAGTCGTTCAAGGCGTCAAGGCTTCTCTGGGTGGTTTAGGCTGCGGTGAATTGACTGGGAGGCTTTTCGTCATCATCTGGAAACGTATTGTAATGTGTTTGGCATGGAATCTGAGTTGAAAAATAGCTTCGCGACTTTTCAAGCCAGGCTGGATGCATGCCCGTATTTTAATATGGTATTTTTGTATATTAAAGGTCTAAAACCGACCAACAACAGCCGGGTTAGGTGACGGCTGTGGTGTTTCGTAGGTGTCATGAGCGTGGAGGGCATCCTGGATGGTGGTTGGCTGAAGGTTGACGATCAAATCAGGTCTATCCGACGCACCTCATTCTCATCACCGAGGTATGAGGCTTTTGTCACGTCAAGTCCGTCATTTTCTTCCTCATCTGTTACGGGCTTGTAACGAGATGGTCGAGAGCATTTTTCCATAAAAGCCTGAAATTACGTTAAAATTTGAACGGTTTAACAATTGATGCCTAATTCTTTCCTATATTTTGGGAGAGTATCCTCTGTTTTACAATTTTTTAATGGAATAAGATCTTTTACTATTTTAGATTATGTCCTTATAAACTAAAATTAAAAACGCGTAATTAAAAAGTATCTGCTAAAAGTGAGTAAGTATTTTGAACTACAATAATAACCAACCTTCTCATCCAGTCCCTTCGTTATACTAATCAAAACAACGGTCATATTGTCACATCCAAGCCCGGCCATCTGTGCATCAGGGGATAAGCATCGATTGAGCAATTCTTCGCAAATCTGAAAATCTCCATAATAATGTCGCATGGCCCTCCACATACCAGTTGGGGTTCCCTGCCCTTGGCAAGTCGGTCTCGGCAAAAATCGGCTACCTATAAATTCATTATCGATTAAGTCTTAATTCCAATACCTCTTGGTTATTCATCACATCCCATATTCCATCACAGGCTACGACAATAAATTCATGGTCATCAGTAATTTGTTGGATTTCGACGTCAGGGTTGGCTAAACGGGGGAGGTTGGGCTGACAAGCTGTTTGGATACTTACCAGTGACAACCTGATCCTCCGGGGGTATATTGATATTCTTAAAAATAAAGTCACCGAGGGCTCGGGAGAGCGCCAGGTTTCCATTTACCCTAAGGGACGGTTTAATATAAAAAGTTACCAATACCTATTGTATTCGACAAAGCCTCCAGCCGCAATAATTCTCTTGGCTTCCTTCTCGTTTGCCGGTTTGTGGTCGTACGATAATGGGACGGCTTCTCCGCAAACCGAGACGATTGCTCGAGAATCGCCAACGTTTGCTGAAAAAGTCAATTTTTGACGATACCCTGAACCGCTGCTGTTTTTGATGCCTCCCCTAACTAACCGCAATAAATGGTATCCCGTTGTACCATCACGACGACAGCCGTCGTGCCGGAAACATCATCCTTCATCTCATCATCCGCTCGCATCTTCTCATCTAGGGCTAGGAATCCCTTCTTCAGCGCCAGTGGCAAATCGCCATCTTCTGAAAAGCAGATAATTGTTTTAGATAATTGCATCCTCCGAGTCATTGTTGCTATGTAATATTTTTCGACTTACTGAATTCCGGCTGGGAAGCGATGGTATGATGGAGATGAATTCCCGCGTATTGCGAGACCTTTGGCCCTCCGTGGCCATCATAAACGGCAAAGAAGGCTGTTTTCGGATCTTCGGGTAGTGAGAGGAGGTGAGTGTGGGCATCTTCCATGCCTAAATACATCTTAATATTAAACCTTTCGATTCACTATATTTTTTCTCTTTTTATCATAGCGTGGTTTGCACAACCTTAGAGCCTCAGCCTGTGTTTTTATGCTCGTTTTTCTTAGAAAACGCACTTGTTCGCCATCCCTGCATGCAGCTGCTCCCCACCGAGAAGATTTTATTGGAGCATGAAGCACTCTCCTTCGTCGTCACTGGCTCGCTCAATGTTTGCCCCATCCCTGGAAATGCAGCATTTTTTAAGGAAATGCGACGCAAGCAAGGAAGAGGGGGAAGCGAAAGAAAATATGATTCAGAGAAATACAGAAAAGCGTTTGCAAAGTTCGACGATTTTTACAAAAAAGATGGATAAAGTTTTGGGCAAAGCGGGGCCGAAGATCCGGAAAAATCGGGGAATAGTAAGTACGGAAAAATCGGGGAATAGGCGAATTTCATGTCGTGTACGGATAACTGGGTTAAATAGCAAAACGCTATAACTTGGCCAAATTTGGGCTCAAGAAGCGAGATAAGTTGGAAGAAAAACGTAAATAATCGAAAAATCTATAGGAAAATTCCACGACAATAACAAATTCCAAAAAGTAAAATTCAAAGCCTATTTCCACCGAATGAATTGGGTGGATTTCATCGGAGGACGAGAAAGACGTCGGTTAGGGCCATTGCATAAATTATTTGGGGGTCCCCCTGGTAGGGTCCTAGAGGGGGGGGAGGGGGGCAGTGGAGTCCGGGTCCAACACCCAATAACTTAGCCTTCCCCCTGGACGCGTCCATTATTGCCCACACGCATCGATCGCTCCCCTCAGCCGAACACACAGACAGACAGACATACGTCACAACATACACACAGACTAACAGAGAAGGAGGAAGAGGACGAGGAGGACAGAAAGACAGACATTCAGACTCTTTGCCTGCCAACGTGTGCGCGCACTTTCCAATTCAACTCACACACCCCACCACCTTCCCCCAGGCGACACCAATTTCACAAGGATTTCCTGGCCTCGGGGTATTGAAGTGGGCATTAAGGAAGAAAGGCACTTTAATTCTACGTAATTCTATGATTACCATGCAAGGCAGCTGCAATCCCAGAAAGAAACCCTCACTAGGCGTTCTAAATGCCCCTTTATAAATTGCTTTGCCAATTGTGGCAATATTATTAGGTTGGTCGGAAAGTAGCTAGAACTTTTTTCACATTTTTCCATAGATCTTCTCGAAGTCAATCCAAAGTCTAATAGTAGTCCAGCTATTTGATGTGTAATCCCCTTACCTTATTTACTAATGCAATGAAACGGGATACTACGCACTTACAAAATAGATACGATTAATTTAGCATAATTTGAGTAAAACAGCCACATCTACGCGTTCACAGTACCGAAGATGGCGCTTTTCTGTGTACGTATGTGCAATATCGTTTGGCATCTACTGACACTAAACAGCAAAAAATCCCATGGCAAACTGAGAAGATACACCCGATTATCAAAAGTCCTCGGGGTCAAAATTTTCTGGTCCCATGCAAAGAAAGCCAAAAACAAAAATTTTGGCTGGAGGAAAATTTTTGGTTTTGTCTACTGAATATAGCACTAACCTTGACGCATTTGGGGCTATGATTATTGGTTACGCGGGGCCACTCGTTTTTGCAAAATAATTCGTTAAAGTTACATTCTAGTTACTTTCCGACCAACCTAATATTATTATTAATATTATTACTATCTAACCATATCTGGTGGAATTTCGTCAGACCCCAAAAATCCGACTCAATTCGAATTCCAGGCACGATGGTTGGGGCAACATTTATGATCGATTTTTCAGGCAGTATTTGGCGCCCGATTTTTCGCGGCGTTTTGGTCAAGGGTGAGCGCGGGGGAGGGGGAAACATTTTTGGGAATATGGAAATTTTGTTACCTAGCTTTTACAGGAAAATATCGTGTTAAATATATTTGGCTAAAATGCAAAAAAATTGTTTTATGCATAATCAAATCACGTCGTCTTGATTAAATTCATTAAATTAAAAATTATGGTAGGAGGTCCAGAAAATTGTATGAATTTTAGCTACAGCTTTGTGCAATTAATTTTGTTTGAAAAATCTGTTGCTCTATATATTTGGTATGTTTTCAAAGCAAAACATTGTTGAACGTAAGGTTTTTGAACAGTCGACTTAGGTTTATGTATATTGAAATTTAAATGTTTAAGTTTCAGCGATTTATGCTATTGATTTTTGGATATAATCCTTTCCACAAATGCTCAGACCCCACAAAAAGGGCAAATTTGGTGAAAAGGTTGGGCAAGGGGGGTGAAGATAGGTGGCGATAACCCGGTGTCGAGCGGAATAGCTCCCCATGCTGGGCCCGTAGTCTTCTTCTCCTCCCGCTCACACACACAGGGAGACCAGCACCCCACATACACACACGTGACGAGATTTCGGAGCCAAAAAACGTTGTCGAAAAGGACGGGGAGAACGGGCGGAGGGGGGGAAGGTCTCGGTGGGACACCAACGGCCTCTGGACACTGCCCCCCTTTTCACTCTCGCTTTTCCCCGCCAACAAAAAAATACGTTTCGCTCTCGCGGAAAAGCATTCGACCACCCGGATGCACCCCTCGGCCAGCCAGCCCGCAGCAGCCCTTCTACCGAATTGAATGTGATGGACTCGCCGGGTGAGAGAGAGGGAGGAGAGGAGGGTCAACTAGTTTTGATCAATGTGTAATGCTGAGAGAATGGAAATGTTACCGGGGTATACCGTTAGACGCTCCAGGCAACAGGAGAGTTTTAACTTTGATAACACCAAATTCTTTAAAACAAATCTTTTTTTACAAGTCTGGCGTAGATATAAAAATTGTATAAGAAAATGTTACAAGAGTTCGTCGTTGGGACGGCCAACCGGAAATTGCAAGGATGCTCTAAATCCTCTTTAATAAAAATAAAATTCGTCAAAAATTTAATTCTTGACAACGCTGTTGGTAGGGATAAAACGTGGGGCTTAGCGATTATCATAAATGCATAATCAACGCAAAATCTAAAATTTGCATAGATTTTAGAGTTATTTAGCTGCATGCAATGCAATAACCCCATAAAGCCCATTTGATACAGAAATAATAAGCTAAATTGTCAATATTAACATTTATTCAAAATTTTAGGTAATAGCTAAATTCTTCGGTATATTTATGCCTAATCGATGCCAAATCCAGGTATAATTTTCTCAAGTGCAAAAGGAGGGCTCTCCGTCACCAAAACAAGGAACTGACAAAATGTACGGGATGGGCTGCGGGCGGACGAACGCGTTCTCAGAAAATGGCACTTGTTGGATGGGAAGAGACTAGAGGAGTAGAGACAGTAATCCGGCTCAGCAGCAGAGTAAGCCCGCTGAAGGGACCTGGCTTGCAAACCCATTTGCTACTATTCCTCCACATCCCTCAACAAGCCATGGATCGATGGCACGGGGGCGGTGCATTAGGGGAATTGCTCTTCATTAGATACATATTCTGACTTGCCATCGTTTCTTGAGCGGAGGATGGTCGTTGATAATTGATAAAAAACAATGGCAAAAAATATCCAAGCGACCAGCTGTTTTTCCAATCCGCCCTGTTGTCTTTCCGCGCCAAAAAAATAATATACAAATTTTGGTCGGCGATAACAGAAGTGCGGATGCCCTTAGGGCCCACAACGATGTCCGGCCTTGCCACCCGATAAATACTACGTAGTTGAGTAATTTTCTCGAAATGGCCCCCCGTTATTATGGATTGCAACTGGCAACTTGCCATGTGAATGGTCGATTTCCAGACAACACGGAATTAGTACAATGGTGGAATGTTGGGGAGGAAGAGTTGAAGGCTCTGACGGGACCAGTTGTGATTAATTCATGAGAGCGATTCGAGATTGGAGCTGGAAGAAAAAAGGGACGATGTTGAGGAATACGATGACGTCTAAGACCCCAAGAATTGACCGATGGATAGATTATGAGAAAACAAATTATCTCGAATCATTCAATACGGTAGATAGATTTATGTTTGTCACTCAAGTGCGGTATCTTCCCATTATTGAAAATTCCTTCTTCTTAGTAAATTTCTTTAGTAAAAACAAGGTTTGCTTGGACAAAAATTGGCTAAGGAACGCATTTTGCTGCTCAACAAGAAAGCGCGCTACCAGAATATCGATATTTTGAGGTATTTGTTGCATTGGAAAATTTGCAAGTAGGGCCTCATAAACAGTCGTAAAAACCAAACCAAAACCAAGAACCAAAACCAAAAACAACTTAAGGAAAGCTTAAAATTCTAAGAATTAAAAAGAAAACCCAGTCTGGCAACGAAACACCAGCCACAGTCTACCGGCACAAACGGCAAGTCGTTCTGCTGCGAGCCGCGAAATTCTAGTGATAGGGGGGGAAGGGATCGATACGTTGGCTGGGTGATTGAAAGGTTGCTGGAGAGTGTCGACACACCACCAGGGATAGAAGAGGGGGGAAGGGCAAAAGATGGTGACAACTGAACACCAACCAGTGAAGGGCTTGATCGTTTTTGTCATGGTTGATGGGGTTTGATAGATCTCAAATTTAGACGTAGGTATTGAAAAATGGTGCTGTAAAATGGCTATGGAAGCGAAAAAATACTTAGCAACAAAAAATTCTTAATCGCAAATAACCATTGGCAACTCAGGTAAAACCCATTTAGTGTCCTTAAAATTGAAGCAGCCTACGTTTTTGATCAGGATCTATAAATAGACAAGAATTGTTATAAATTTCGAAGTAAAATAACGAAAATGGTGTCCAACCATTAGAAAATACTTTTTTTCCGTAATACTTTACTTAGCATAACTCATGCATTTTTAACGTCTTCCTATTCACATGCTGGAATAATCAAATTAACCTAATTAAAGAAACGGCCCATCCCCATGGATTTCATTGCGTAATCGAATCATGGAAAAACCCAGCAAATATAAAATTCCTAAAACTTCCTAAAAATGCCCCTTCCTTCCCGCGAATGTTAAGCGCTAAACATAGCAGGCCAGGGCGTCCTAGTCGCTTGAATTTCCAAACAACTTCCCTGGACTGGCGATCGATGGCCTTCCCAGCGTCATAGTCAGAAAGAAGAGCTCCCTGGGAAAGTTTTCGGCAATTTTCGACTTGGGAACCAGACAGTGACCAAGAGGAACGAAGCAGGGAAAGGGAGCCCCTCTTTTTTGACATAAAACAGAAAAAGGAATGAGGCAATCCCTATTGACACGAGTTAGTCAGGCGGTCGGACGCTAGGGCTGGGCTCCGCTGGACTACGAAGTACATATTGCCGCCTATTTGTCAAAGGGGGCTCGGGAATCTATTTGGTGAGTATTCAAATCTTTGGTGGAAAATAAACCATGCATGCTAGAAAGTATATTGGGATTTTATGTACTTTCCGGATTATATCCAAGATTTTTTCTAAACTTTATAAAATTGTCACAGATTTTTATAAGATTTTAATTCATATCTATTCCCGATAGTTCGGGGACTTTGGTTGCGATTTTTGACCAGTAAGTTTAGGTATTGGAAATAAGATTTTCACAATTTTTTTATGGGTTTTGTTGTAAATAAACCAATAATATGACTCCCCGCCTCCAATTCTCTGCGAAACCAACTTTTCAAAGCCGAGTTTTTAGGCAATGGAAAACTACGTGCCTTCTGCTGAGGAAGAAGTGGCCCTTCAGCCTGAAAACCCATTTCCCGAAGCGTTCCACACGGAAGGAACCATCATCATCGAAGTGAAGCAAAGCACAAGAATACAACAAACTGTAGAGTACGCCTTGAAGCACCTTACAGTGCGTATTTTGCCAAAATAACTAAATATAGTAGTATTTGCTTTTAGAAAACTTTGAGTCGTTTCTTGATCTTCCATGGAGTTGGCGAATCAGCGGAGAAATGTATTACCTGTGTGGAAATCTTGAAGAAAAGATATAAGGTTTGAAAACTAAAAATATTTGACGAAAAATAGTAATTTAGGGCACGCTCCATCAATGGAATTCGTTGACGTTCCAGAGGAAATTGTCTTATTGGGATCCGTTGATCGATGGAATGGATAGGTGTGTTTTGGAATTTAAACGGATAGCAGCCGCGACCACAAAATGGCCAGACATTTTCGTTGTGCCCCTAATTGAGCTTTTTGGGTTTTCTTTTGCTTTATTGCCCGTTCACGTTTTTTCCCCGACAACTGGATGGCGGGGGAAACGTAAATTAGTAAGCGAGTACCGGAAAGTGGTCAATTTCCAGAGTTTTTGCTGATACTTGAAGTGGGAATTTACGCTACCACAAAACACAATTGCGAGGTGGAGTCTGGGTTTGGGTAGCGGAGATGACCTATGTCTAAGGGATGAATTTGTGCGTGCGGATGATCGCACAGTGATGCAAGGTTATTGAAATAAAGCGGGGGGATTCAAGGTTTGATCTCTCTCTCTCTCTCTCTCTCTCTCTCTCTCTCTCTCTAACTTCCATATCTCTCTCCGCCTCTCACCCTCTCCCACTCCTTCTGACCCTGCTATCCATCGCACGGTTTCTGTCTCCCTCCCTCCCTCCCCCCTCTCTCTCTCTCTCTCTCTCTCTCTCTCCCACCAAACCTACCACCGCCGAAACCGTTCAAAAATTAATAAACATAGCAACGTTCCCTTTCACAGACTTCGCGTGACCGTCGACCTCCCAGCATTGTTTATCCTCGTCTCCCTAGACGAATTTCCAGCCGAATTCCAATGCTTGAGGTGGGTGAGATGATAGAGGGAAGGATGAAAGGGATGGATAGATGGGCTCCGTGCGTCCATTAGGGTTTTTATTATTAAAATATCGTCCCGTTTCTCGCCATTCTCGCTCGGCCACACGTCCCGGTTGCCCATTAGGGCGGTGGTGGGTCTGAATAATGGGCTCAACAAAAATAATGGGTGGTCCTTTGCGGTTGGGGTGAGGAAGGATGGGGGGCATTATACTAAAAGGGTGGTGGTGGTTGGCAATTTTAATTGATGGAAACCGCTTTTGCAGTATTCAGTCTTCGAAGGAGACGTGTTCGGTGTTCGAGGGCGAGCAGAATATCGAGGTGAAAACGGGGAAGACGGGGAAGAAGAGTGGACAAAGTAATAAGGCGTCCAAACCGGTAAGTAATTTGAGGCAGAAGTAAAGGCTATCCGATTTTACTGATGGTACAGCCCGCCAGTCCGAAAATTCCATTAAATTCCATTAATTTCAGAAGAAAAACAACCCCTCCAATCACTCAGAAGCGCCAGATCGACCTCGACGGCAATCAGACGTCCACCGGGATTAGCGCTGTTGATTGCGCCTCTCAACATAGCCCTGTGTTTTCAACCCCCAATGCTCACATTCCTTTCTGTTAAAAAACGGGTATCTTGTGCAATCACCTATCATAAGGTGAAACCGACTGTCACGTGGAATTTATTAAACGTTTCTGAAACGGAAAAAAGCCATTCGCACCAAAGCATTTCCATTCCTATCCTCTGGCTTAATGCCTTTCCCATTTTATGCCTCACATTTTTGCGCAATAAACTGAAGTGAATGCGGCGAGCATTCGGGGAAAGCCCAACCAGATTTTCGAGCGCCTGGAAATTTCATACGATTTTTTATATAGCTCTGAGTTAATTTCTTGGGGAAATTTCTTAGCTACGCTTACCGTACCTATTTAGCCTTTCAGCAACCTTTTGAATTACGACACCGCTGGCATATCTTTGCAGATTTAGCTCGGTACACCGCTTCTGTCTTCGAACTTTCGAGCAGCACCCCTAATCTTTTCAGAATCCCCGCACCATGTCAAAGAGCCAAAACACTTCCTCCTCGCCATGCATTGCAAATTGGCAGTTCAGTGGTGGCCGGCTATTTTTAGCGTTTTCGATCTATCACGGAACGGCCATATTCCCGAGCGCCAAAATGTCAGCGTCAATGACCGATGATTCTGGCTGAATCAGCAGTCGCTGTCGTGTCAAGCGTTCTTTAATCAAATGCTTTTTTATGCGTTTTTTTTGGGGTGGCAAATCTGCCTTAGGGTTGGGTCAGGTGATAATTTTTTGGTGTATTTGACTGGCAGACATTATTGGGCTTGTTTGATTTTCGGGGTAGTAGAAATGTCTCAAGCTCTTTCTCTCTCTCGCTCTCTGGCTCTCTCTCTATCTCTCTCACTCTCTCGCTCTGTCTCTGTGTCACTATCTCGTTTCTCTCTTTCCCGCCCGCTATCGCACTCGCTAGCTCTTTAAAGCGGCGTATTCTAGCGATTTTGACGATTTAACGATTAACGTGTATTCAGTTTGAAGAGTTTGATAAATCCGATTTCGCAGTTACATAATTACATGATAATTCGCATGCCAAGTACGTTCAAATTTTACCAAAACTTGGATTGAATTTATATGTGTAAAATCTCTAGTTTCATCCATACGTAGATTTTTTTTCTTCCTGCAATATGAAGAACCCACCAACACCCCCCCCCACACTATTTGATTGCCGATCCCATTTATTGCACTCAACCTGCCCAAAACCCCGATCCCCTCTTCCGAGAATTTCATTACTTTTCGCCATTTGTCCGTTGAGCGCATCCTAGCCGGCCACTTGGAAGCCTCACTTCAATAATGAATTTTCGCACAACCGCCGGATCCTAGGGAAAGGGAGGTGCCCCTCGCCTTGTCCTCCAATTTCCTCGTGGACCACCCCATTTTTTTGGTGGCTCCCCGCGAGGAAAAGAAGGGCTTCTCCATCCGACTCCAAACATCTTGTACTTTCTATTCTAGGCGGGGAGCCCGGGAATTATTGGCATTTAAGGGGGGGCGGGAGTTGTGTTCTGTGGGGGACGATTGCGAGACGTCCATAAATTTGTTTGGGTGGGATACTGTATTCAAAGATATATAAGCACAAAATCATGCAAATTGAGGGATTGTGAGGCATTTGTTAAAGCCCAAGACGTTCAGGTTCCGTTGAATCCATATGATCAGGGTATTAGCTAAACGCCAGCAATTGCCTAAAATGATCTAGCTTTGCAATTTTGTTAAGTAATTTAATTGTAAAAAGCCAAAATTGTCCACAGCAAAACACAATTCCCACATCATCTTAATAGTCTGTAAAAATCTCGGTTATTATTCGATGAGTCGGGAGCACGGTCATCCCCTGATTTCCCCTGATTTTGCAGCTGTCTCCCCCGACAATATGGTGAGATTTTTCGGAATTTCTTTGATGGGCTTGCGCCGGAATTTCTGAGTGCAGTTTTCTGCTCGGTTTTGCAGACCAAAGTCCGGGGAAAATGGGTTTCTCATGGGCTAATCGGTGCATGCAATCTGAAAGAAGTGCTCTTACTGTAAAGTGTTTTTGCTCAACTTGGAGTTTCGATTCGGGACCAAGCGCATCTTGTGCAGAATTTTTCGCTGATTCCGAATATGTTTTCCAAATTTGCTACGGACTTTTATTCTGAAAGTTATACGGTAATTATGAACCTAGTTTTAACCAAAATGAAGGTATCGTTATAGTTTTCGATTTTCTTCATTAATTTCAACGTCAAAATTGACTAGGCGTTGGCTCGACAAGCATCCTACAGCTCAAAACAAGCATTTTAGATATAAAATGAGATTTTTATGCAAAAAGCAAAAGAAATGATGCAGGGCGGGGGTTCGGAACCGCCGCCCTGCGCTTTGCAAGCGAGTACTTTGCCAAGGCACCATGGTGCCAACTGGGTAGGGTGCTGTCAGAGGGTACTTCAGGGCCCCTGGGAACCATAGCACCAAACAAGGAATAGTGGGCCAGCGTCTGAATTTTTGGCATTTTTCGGCCTAATTGTTACCAAAAATGATTTTCTAGAATAACGGTCCGTAGCAAATTTGGAAAACATATTCGGAATCAGCGAAAAATTCTGTACAAGATGCACTTGGTCCCGAATCGAAACTCCAAGTTGAGTAAAAACACTTTACAGTTAGCAAAATGGATTAAAAAATTGAATACATGTGACGTCGAGATGGGCAAAAAAATAGCGGAAAACGCAATGTAAAAAGAAAGTACAGTATAGTTCTTGAGGGCAGGTATACCAATTGGTTGACCGTAGTTTGCGCTACTTGAGCTTTGTAAATTTGCACTTCTGAGTGGGTGGCAATCGTGGTACTCATAGAAGAGACCGTAGCTCAAGTCCGGCTGGGAATCTGTACTTTTTCAACGTTCCTGACAACCTAGAATAGACGCTGATCAATGTGACCCTTTCATCGTTCAGAAACTACAATTCCGTTTTTGCGAAAGAAGTAGCCATACGGTCCCTCTGGTATTCCCCTTTAAAACGACCCCTCCCTGGACGTAAGGTCGGAAAGTTCAATCGTTCAAAGTGGGTCCGCCGGTCAATCGTACCCCTTTGTCATAAAAGAACGCCCCCAAAGGGGTTTTCCAAACGAGACCCACTACATAGAGACCCCGCAACCGCTTTCCCACCATTCCGATTCTCCCGGAGGGGCGATCGACAAATATTTGGTCGTGTCACCCTTTTTCTCTCTTTCTCGCCCCGCTTCTAGCCCATCATCAATCCACGTATCCATCCATTTCAAGCCATACTTCCCGCATCTTCTCCTCAGGGCCCCGCGCACTTTTCTAATTCATCTTTTCACCGGGGCGGCTGCCATTGGAAAAATGCTAGGAGGGGTGGAGAGATGTGGAGGATTCGTGTAAATAGAACTGCCCGATATATAAGTAGCCAACCTAATCTATTCTTATTAGTATCGATCGTGTATAAGCACTCTCTTTGATACCCCACGCCTTCTAAAATAAAATTCCATTTCATCGAAGTCGTCCTCCCCCGACGAAATCTGACAAAAAATCCTATTTAGTTGAATTTCCCCTCGGAGATATCTACAGAATCTGTTTCCAGGACACTACCCTTTAAACGTCGACAGGTTCGGTGATATTTATGGCCCAATAATTTCTCCCCTCCACAAAGTTATTAACTCAAAGCTGCCCCACCCCTGATTGGGTGTCCGGATTAACAACATGGGATTAATTCTCAGACAGAACTCCCGATCCCCCCTCTCAGCTCTCTTCTTTTCTTTTCCTCTTTGCGGCGCTTCGACACGACATCTCGGTTTCGCCCTCCCGTCGGCCAGCCTTTTGGCGAGCCCATGAATATTTGATGGCGGTTGTCGTTTTCGCCGTCTTCCTCCCCCCGATCTCCTCCCCATTTTCACCTGTTCCGCGGCGGCCAATTGGAAATAGAACGGCCTCTTCTCTCTCCGGCGGGTCGACGCCTGAAATGGGCTGACAGCTACTGAAATGGCGCCGAATATTGCCCGTTTTAGAGCGTCCTGATTTGGGTTCGGCCTTATGATGTGGGGCGGATTTTTTATGGCTTCTGGCGGTTAATAACAGTTGTGAGACCAAAAAGCAGACCGATGATCAGCAACATAAATTGAAATGCCGCTAGAAGTGGCCTTATGGGACCGGAAACGGTCAGCTACTGCGGACACCTCGGATTCAAAGGTTTTTAGTTTTCACCAAATTACGCAGGATTTTATATTTCAGGAATTGTAATTCTAGTAAATCATTTTTCTAGCTTTCTCCCCCTGCTACACAAGTCCGTAATTCCACTTGTTCTATCACATTTCAAAATTACCGACTCACCCCAAACACACCTAAAATTAGAGGCTTCACGGGAGTTGACCCCAAATTAACGTCCTCCTAAAGGCCAAGCGCTGGACGCGCCTGAAAAAGTGCACTGTTTGTTCGCCCTATCCCCTGGCAGCTCTTGTTCTTTCGTAGATCAAAATATTCGAAAAGCTAACTTTTCGGACAATTTTGCGGTCATTAAAAGTTATTAATATAGAATATCTGAGAAAGCAGTAATTTATTCATGATTCTTTGCCAAAATAGAATTTTTCCGCGCTTAACGTAATCTCGGTTTTTGGAATTTTAGCGACTATCCACCTTTTCTTGTGACAAGTAACGCTTGTTCTTCCCTGGTTCAAAATATTCCAAAAAGCTAACCTCTGAAACTCCATCCCCTCTACGTGCGATAGATAACCGTTCTGACAAGTTTCCAGCCATTATAAGCCCATGTCAACGGCTGTCAATCCGAGAATTCGGCACCTTTTTTGATAAGGCCGGGGGGGGGGGGCTCTGTTGAACCCGGTGAATTTTTTGTGTATGCTGTCAACGGATGGCAACACGCCCTTTCGACAGAAAATGGACTGGCTCTGCCCGCTGGTCGTCCGTTTTTACCTCCCTCTCCCCTCCTACCCCAAACAGCTGTGTTGTGAGTTCGGCTGGCGCCAGGCTGGTGGTGGTCGGCGGGGAGAGTTT